TCTGTTTGACACAGCAGATAATTATTAAATAGTGTTTTCTTCCTTCTTTCTTTCTTTTTTTGTCTTGAGACAAGGTCCCACTATGCAGTTTAGGCTGGCCTTGCTCTCACTTTGTAGCCCAGGCTGGTGTCGAACTTGAAACTATATCCTCCTGCTTCAGCTTCCCAAGTTCTAAGATTATAGACTAGCATGCCCTGCAAAACAGTGTTTTTAATGTTTGTTTCTTAGTTTCTCTTTTACTGCTTTCTGTTGAATAGCTGAGTGACCAAGAGAGAAGCAAAGTAGCTTTATGGATTTATAAGACTACAGAGAAAAGAATGAAAAGAACTAGCTGTTTCTACATCAGTGTGGTACATATTCAGTATCTCTGTGTGTTGACACAAAGTCAAGAGTATGAATTTGATGCTGACCATTGGATCATCTGTAAGACATTGTTTTAAAATAAGCCTGCCAACCGGTCGTGGTGGCACACTCATGTAATCCCAGTACTTGCTTGTAATCCCAGGATTTAGGAGGCTGAGGTAGGAGAATTGTTGCAAATTCAAGACCAGCCTGGGCTACAAAGTGAGCTCAAGGCCAGCCTGAACTACATAGTAAGACTCTGTCTCAAAAAAAAAAAAAAAAAAAAAAAAAAATTAGCCTGCCTACCTTAAAACACTTCCCTATGTTACAATTTATGATCTGATGGTTTCTGTGTGAGTGGTGCTGGTGCCTGAACCTAGGCACTCACTTAGACTAATTACATGCTAGCACTGAGCCCTAGCCCCTTAACCGCTTCTAAGTGTGCAGTTCTTAATGATAAGTATGTTTATTATGTATATTTTGTAACGTAATTATCCCACTATTCATCTCTTAGAAGTTTTGGATTTTTTTGTTTTCATACTGGCCTTGAATTTATGCTCCCTCTGCCTCAGTCTCCATCTCGGTGGGATTACAAGTGTGTGCCACCACACCTGGTTTAGAAGCGTTTGTTGTTTGTTTTGTTTTGTTTTTGTGGTACTGGGGATTGATCCCGGGGCCTTCACCTTGAGCTATGTCTCCAGTTTAAAAACAAAACAAAACAAAAAACCCTTTTTAACACCAGTCTGACCAAGTTGCTTGCCTACAACAGACTTAATTTGAGATCAGCTTCTGCCTCAGCCATCCAGAGTGCTACCACGTGCCACCAGGCCCAGCTCCAATTGAGAATTTTTTTTTTTTAATCTTCTGAAATTTTCAGTTGAAACTATACTCACTAAATGGTAATGCTTCAATGTTTTGTCTTCTTGCCTTTGGCCACAATCATTTTTTTTCCTTTTTTTCTACTCTTGGTATTGAGAATTGAGCCCAGTCTTTTTTTTTTTTTTTTTTGGTCTTTTTCATTTTTATCGGTACCGGGGACCGAACTCACGACTGCCTGCTTGCAAGGCAGGTGCTTATGCCGCTGAGCTAAATCCCCAGCCCCTGAGCTAAATCCCCAGCCCCGAGCCCAGTCTTCATGCATGCTAAATATGTGATCATATAAGGCTGAATGATGTTCCATTCTATTTGTGTATCACATTTTATTTATTCATCTGCTCATAGATATTTGAATTTCTTCTTCCTTTTGGCTATTGTGAATAATGCTGTTATAAACATGGATGTACAAAATTTGAGTGTTTTAATTTTTCCCTATTATGTATCCAGAAGCTAATCTAGAAATGCTAGGTCATAATGATGTATAGGCCTTTTTCTATTACTGTAATGAAATCCTCAAGATTGGATAAACTTACAACTATGAAAGATCTGGTTTTGTTGCCAGAGAGGGACAGTATGATGGGAGAAGAAAAGGTTTTATTATTCACAAGTTGGTCTGTTGGAAGATGGAAGACAGCTATGCATGGTGATGTGCACCTGTAATCCCAGCAGTCTGGGAGGCTGAAATAGGAAGATTTTAAGTTAGAGTCCATCCTTGGCAACTTAGTGAGACCCTGTCTGAAAAGAAAAAGGCTGGGAATGTAACATGCCCAGTATTGCCACCACCACAAAGCTGGGAGAGCAGAAAGGCTAACACCTTAGGCTATCTTGCCACCTGCTGGAAGTTTAAACGATCTTCTGTAAGGATATTTTATCTCAGATCTCTGTCGCAAGCAGGTAGTACTGGGGTAGTTTATTAGTTTAAAAATGGTTAGTTCTGGAACATAGGTTGTGAATGTCATATTTCAGCCTGGAGCTCACCAAGCATCCTGGATCTGTGAAACTAAGAAAACATGATTGGTCAGAGGTTTATTGTTGGAAGTTTTCTGTGCCTCTGGCTCCCATCATGCCAATCTATGTTTTCCTCACAGGTGCCTTATAGTTGTGACATTTCTTAGAAGCTGGAAATGGAGTTAGCTGTGAAAGGGTCAGTGTATTTCAATTAATTCTGCATATAGTCATGATGATACAGAGCAAGGAGCTGGGAGCGAAGTTAGGCTAGTAAACTGTAAGAAAATCTTCTGAGGTCATGCTACCAAATACCTGAAGCCTTCCACTGAACCCTACCTGTAAAGAAATCACCACCTCCCGACACTGCTTCACTGGGGCCAAACTTCCAAAATATGAACTTTGGGGGAATGCATGGAAATTACATCCAACCCGTACCCTGAGGTAATCTTATTATGTAAGAAACTACCATACTATTTTCCATGGCATTTATAAGATTCTATCTTCCTACTAATAGTGCACGAGGATTCCTGTTTCTCTACATCTTCATCAATAGTTACTTAGTTTTTTAAAGTACTTTCTTTTTTCATGGTTATTTTAATGGGTATAAGATGGTATATCATTTTTGGTTTTGATTTGTGTTCTCTAATGATTAGTGGTGTTGAATATGTTTTCATGTTTTTTGTTCGTCACTTGTGTATCTTCTGTTATAACTGGTTTTAATATATTTAGTTTTGATTTCTTATGTGACTAGATTTTTATATGTAAATCATGCCTATCAAAATTGGGAACTTTAATGTCTTATTACAAGTGAAAATGATGATTATACCAGTAGTTACAGTAAGTTTTTTCTGAACTCAACCAAAACTCACTGGAAGGATGGGAGAGAACTTTTGAGGTTCTGTAGGGGAAATTTGTAAAATTAGAATCCAGTGTACTCAGGAATTATGGAGTGCAACTATAATGTCACAGTGAACAACCAGCCATTGTTGGGATTTGGATTTGTTTAACCAATCCCTTAAAAATGTACCTTTTTAAAAAAAATGCTGTAGTTTGTTTTGTTGATTGTTAATTCTTGGCTTTAAAAACAAGAATCAGATCACCTGAGAAATTAGTATTTAGTAAAGTGTCTAGCATATAAGCAAATAAACTTTAGTATTAACTATGGGTCAATAATATGTAATGTATAATACCATGCAATGAACATGACAAATTGGTAAAGCAAATGACAACTACAATACTTTACTGAAAACTATAAAAGATTGGAATGACTCAGTGGCAGACCATATGCCTGAATGAAGAGACTTGATAGTCGTTACCATTAAAAGTTGATAAAGAGCAGTTCTTCTTAATTGTACATCCCATGTAATTCCAGCTGGTAACAAAATTACTAATTTCTGAAATTTATTTGAAATGTGGATCAAGGCAGTTTGAAAGCATTTCAAATTCCTGTTCTACTATGTAGAATAACGACTAGTGTTAGCTGTAATAACACACAGTATTCATTCAGAAACAGAGTATTGGATCAGAATTGAAAACCCAGGTTAGAGCTTTCTATACATGAAGTTTGACATGTCTTTCCTAATTTGCTGGGAAAGAGTGGAGTTTTAAACTAGTGGTGGAATAATTATTAATTTTCAGTTTTGAAGCGAACTTCAAGTTCATAACAAAATTCTAGATTGATGAACACTTTAAGTGTGAAAATTTATAAAAAATACTATTATACAATCTGAATTTTTGCCCTAGGACATTAAGATTGGAAGCCAAAAGGAGGACAGAATTGATTACATAAAAGGAAGGACTTCTTCATGACAAAGTGCTTTATAAGCTTTTTTAAAAGACCAGTTGAGGGGCTGGGGATTTAGCTCAGCAGCACGCCTGCCTTGCAAATGCACTGTCCTGACTTTGATCCCTGGTGCTGATTAAGGGGAAAAAAAAAAAAAAAAAGAGGGGCTGAGGATTTAGCTCAGCGGCATAAGCACCTGCCTTGCAAGTGTGCGACCCTGAGTTTGATCCCTGGTACCGATAAAAAAGAAAAAGACAAAAAAAAAAAAAAAAAAAAAGTGTCTTAATCCCAGCATTTGGGAGAGTGAGGCAGGCAGATCTTTGCAAGTTCAAGACTAGCCTGGGCTACAAAGTGAGGCTGAGACTAGCCTGAACTGCAAAGGGAGGGGAAAAAAAGACCAGTTGAGAAAAAGAGTTCAACGGTGAGCTGTTACATTTATTGTCAAAATAATTTAAGTGCTTACTGAAGTTTTACTTCTGATTTCCTGCTCTCTGATTAGGTGGGGAAATTTATAATTTTTCATAATTATTTGTAATAGAAAACATTAGTTTCCTGTGGTTTTTTTTTTTTTTTTTTTTTTTTTTTTTTTTGTTTTTGTTGGTACTGGGGGGCTTTCTCGCACTGAGGTAGATTTCTAGCTGTCTGTCTTATCTATCTGTGTATTTAATTTTGAGACAAGGTCTTGGTTAATTGCCTGGGCTAGGCTCAAACTTGGCAATACTCCTGCTTTAGTCTGCCAGAGTACTGGGATCACAGGCATGTGCCATTATGTCAGACTTCTCTTTTTTAGTTTAAGGAAGTCTCTAAAAAATTTCACTTCCAAAAATGTTCTTTTTTCAATAAAAGAATATGTTTTTATGTGAACAAAATACTGTAATGTGTTTCTTTAAGAATTACGGCTTTATGGAACATATTCTCTTAAGTGGATTGTTACTTAAAAAGTTATTTACTAAAGTGGATACATGTGGGATGTTAATGCTAAAAAGTTTCGCAGCTTTTTGGCTCTCTATAAATAATGGTTAATCTAACTTGAAATGTTTTATTTGTTTAGTCAGGTCAATTCAGTGAAGATATGATACCCACAGTTGGCTTCAACATGAGGAAAGTAACGAAAGGTAACGTCACAATAAAGGTATGTCATCTATTTCCTGAACTCAGTTTTATTACCATATACAGCTCAGAAATCTATTTGTTTGGTTTTACTTAAGTATCATTTGCAGTTCCTAAGTAATGAATAGGTATGTAACAAAAGGCTGTAATTAGTTATTTGTGTATTTCTAATAGAGCAAAATGTCTGCGTTGAAATGTTAAATCAAAAACAGCATGTGGGTTAGAAGATACCCCAGGAAATAAAGATTTGGCTTTAGCTGGATGTATTAGTTCACACCTGTAATCCCTGCACTCTGGGAAGCTGAGGGATGAAAATCACTTTTGAGTCCTGCCTAGGTAATTTGGTGACTCACTGAAATGCTATCTTAAGGGAAAAAAGGTGGCTGGGTATAACTTAGTACATGGGCCATGAGTTCATCTATGATAATGCAAAAGAAAAAAATAAGGGATTCCATCTTTTTTTTTTTTTTTTTGTCTATTTCTTTTTTTATTAGTACCAGGGATCGAACTCACGATTACACACGTGCGGCAGGCGCTTATGCCGCTGCGCTAAATCCCCAGTCCCAAGGGATTCCATCTTTAGGGTGTTTGAATTGTAATATTACATTGTTTCACGAATAATACTTTATATTGAAAGGCAATAATTTTTTATAATAATGATAGTTTATTAAATTAGGTATGGATTAGGTATTAATTAGGTAGCAAATACTGTTTTTTTTCTTTACTACCAGTAAATGGAAACTATAAAATAGGAAAAAGCCAGTTCTTTTGACATTCTGTACTTTTCCTTTTATAACGAGTTTAATTTGTTTAAATCCTGGCTTTTGGACAGTTTATAAGGAGAAATAGTTTGCCTTTTGGAATTAAGGGAGCAGTGCCTTCTTACTCATTTATATCTCTGACCTTTTTTTTTTTTTAAATTTTTTTTATTTCGAGATGGTCTTGCTGAATGTAGTTGCCCTGGCATACTCTGATATACCTGCCTCAGCCTCCCAGAGTACTACAATTATGGGCATGTCCCAATGCCTGGCTAATTTTACTTTTTATTGTGGTTGTTATTTTGGCTCTGTAGTTTATGTGGCTTTTGAAGAACCATTTTGCCTGGTTTTTGGGTTTCACAAAATCTGTTCACTGAACTATGACTTTTCTAATGAAGCATCTAATATAGTTTTGTATCATACATTTTACTGATGTTTGGCTAATTAGAAACCTGAAAATAAATACCATGATTTAACAAGTTTGATGTAACCTAGTATTGATAAAGGAGAACAAAACTCCTGATCTACCATATGTCTGATACGAGTTTGTGTTCTCTAAAATTGAAGAATGAATTTTAGGAACAGTGGAGGTTAACAGCAGAAATATTTATTGAGAGAAAGAAAGCTTCTGTTTGAGATAGAAAGGGTCCTGTATGGGTTGCCTTAGATTCTGTATTCTCTTGGGATTTTTGTAGAGTAAAATCATGAGGTGGGGTGGGTCTAAAGTATGGGAACTCGAAAGGCAGATTGGCATGAGGTGGGACAGAGCTATGGTCAACCAATAAGTTTAATTGTTCAGGTAAAATTAATATAACCAGGAACAAATGGGAAAAGGAGTCATATAGCAAGTGAGCATTCTTTACAGATCAGTGACTCTTCCTGTAGGGGTTGGAATGGTGACTCCTGGTTTCTCAAGGTGATCCATACCTAATCCCTAATGTTTATACTCAAGGGTATGGCTGCATTTGTTTTGCCTTCTGTCTGGCCTATGATAAGAGGTTAGTCTCCTTCAAGGTCGCAAGACATCTGGTCCTCTGTGCCTACTTCTTTGCAGGCCTGGCCCTGTCTGACTACCTATAATATTTCTAACTACCTTGGCTGCCTGTAACAGTATCAGCATGGTACCCAAGAGAATAAGGATGATGATAAAATTATTTTGGAAAACATCTATCTAAGAATGTGGCTTTCTTATTTATGTCATAATTTAAAAAGTTTGGGTGTTAATGTACACTGTCAGATAATTGAATTTTAAAAGTCTCTGAACTGTTGTTTTCTTTTTTGACATTCAAATCTGGATGATACACTGTCCTACAATTTTTTTTTTTTTTTTTTTTTTTTTGCAGTCTTTTTTGGAGGCAGGGTTTCACTATATGGTTCAGGCTGGCCTTCAATGCTAACCCAAACTGGCCTCAAGGGATCCTCCTGTTTCAGCCTCTTAAGTACTGAAATTAGGCATGTTCTGCTGTGCACCCCCCCCCCCAATCCTATAGATTTTTAAATTAAAGCTCTGGGTGTGGTGGGACACACCTGTAATCCCAGCACTGGAGGCTGAGGCAGAAAGATCATGGTGAGTTCAAGGCCAACCGAGGCTACATAATGAGTTCAACACCAACCTCTACTACATAGGGAGAGTTGTCCCAGAAAACCAAAAAAAAATTATCTTAAAATATATATTTTCAGCATTAGAAGTATAGTGGTTAACAAGCAGATAAAGTATTGCACATAAACTAAGTCTCTGCCAAAGTGAAATTTTAAATGTAGTGCGAGCATATTAGATATGGGCCTCAAATTTAGAAGAATTCCCAGATTAAGAGTGATTTTTTTTTATTAGTACGTTTGTGATACACAATGAATGCAAGTATTGTGGGAAAGTTGGTAAATGTACTAGCATCTTAATTCTTTTACTTCCCTGAGCTTAAGTTTTTAGGAGCACTTGGGCGCTAACAATGTGAAGTTGAATATATCTTCCTGATATTTCCTGACTCCTGGTATTTCCTCCAGTGAATGATTTGAACTATTTAAAAATTTTTTTATTTAAACAAACAAACAAAAAAAAACAGAAAAAGGGTAGAAATAATACATAATTTAAAAAAATCACTAGTTGATAATTACATATTGTCTTCTTAAAAATAGTTGTTCAAGTTACAAAAGTAAAGCATATAAAGTAGACATTCAGACAGCAAGACTGCAAACAGTTCTGTTCAACTATTCCAACAAAAATTTAGTAATATGGTTATCAATCCTACACACTTAAACATACATACAGTTATATCCTTTAGAACACTTTCTTTTTCCTCTTTTTGCAATAGCAATTATACATTTTGGGTTTTAATTAATCCTACATTTCTTATTACTTTTTACCCTAGAGATACAATGTTATATTTATAAATATGATTCTTATTTCATTAATGAGAATAGCCTTAGGTTGTCTTCATTTGCCTATGAAGGCCTCAAGAACATCCTTTTTATGGCTGAGTAATATTCCATTGTATAAAAAAGACCACATCTTTTTCATTCACTCTGCAGTTGATGGTCATTTTGGTTGTTTCCAAGATTTAGTGATTACAAATTGTGCTGCTATGAACATGGATTCACATGTATCACTGTGATGTGACCTTTCCAGTTTTTCTGGGAAAATACCCAGGAGGGGAATAGCTGGGTTGAATGGAACATCCAATCCTAGTCTTCTGAGAATTCTCCATACTGATTTCCATACTGGTTGCACCAGTCTACACTCCCACCAACAATGGAGCAGTGTTCCTTTTTCCCCACAGCCTCGCCAGCGTTTGTTATTAATTGATTTCTTGATGGCAGCTATTCTTTCTGGAGTGAAATGAAATTTCAATGCTGTTTTAATTTGCATTTCTTGAATGACCAGTGATGGTAAACATTTCTTCATGTATTGAACTATTTTTATTAAGAATTGTCTTTCTTGATTTAAAGATCTGGGACATAGGAGGACAGCCCCGATTCCGGAGCATGTGGGAACGGTATTGCAGAGGAGTCAATGCTATTGTGTAAGCTTCTTTTTGTATGTCTTTTTTATTTTTTTTTTTAAAGTCAGTTAGGTTTTCAAGAAGAAAATCTTTAATATTTCCAAAGCCTCAATCTTTATCTCAGCCAATAAAAATATTTCTTTGCTAATTTCTTTGTGTAATTTTACCATTACATTTTAAAATTTAATCGTAGAATAGGAGCTTTGTGTTTTTTGTTTATGCCTAAAGGCTAAAGGATATGTTTTACTGGCATGTATTAGTCTCTGTGGACAATCTAGCTGAAACTATAGATGCTGAGATTTTCTTTAGGACTTTATTTTGATTAACAACTTGAATAATGTAAATATTAAGTAAAAATCTATAATTCTAGTTTTCATCAAGGCATATGGAAAAGATATATATTTTTTTAAGTTATATGATAGATGCTGCAGACCGTGACAAGATAGAAGCTTCTCGAAATGAACTACACAATCTTCTAGATAAACCACAGTTACAAGGAATTCCAGTAAGTAAGGAGTATTTGTTATTTTATGTTTGTCATTATATAATAACAATTGTACCTTGGTGTCCATGCAGATTGGTTCCAAGGCTCCCCACAGATACAAAAATCTGAATTTTTGGGTCCTTTAGGTAAATTATGATAATATTTGCATATAACCTTTCAGTTGGTGTCAACTAAGAACTTCATGGTGATCAAGTTAAAATTGTTTTTTTTTTTTTTTTAAATTTTAAAGGGTAAAATTGATTTTTACTTGCACTATATGCAACCAATCTTTACTACAGAAGAAAAAGAATAATCTTCAAAGTTAAGGAAACAGGTTTGGTTTTTGTTGTTGTTTTTGTTTCATATTGGGCCTGATTTTAATTTTACATAAATGTACATAAATGTCTGTAATATTTGTACATCTTCTCATGCGCTTTAAGGCATCCTAAAATGTCTCATACAATGTAAGTGCTATACAAATAGTTGTTATACTGTTACCAACAAATAATTGTTATACTGTAATATTTAGGAAAAACTGATAAGAAACAAAGTCTGTCAGATTCACTACAGTTGACTTTTTTGTGATTGTTTTGATCCCTATTTGATAGAAATCATGGATATAATCTTGAGTATATAGAGGACTAACCATATATTATGTTTGACATTAGTAAAATGTTTTCTAAAGTCTGGTAGGCTTTTATGTACTGAATATCTGTCGCGTCTTGGGCATTGTGCTATTATGAATGCCTCAACCAAGTAGGTATTAAATTACTATGCAACGGGAACCAACATTAGTTCTAATCATATGGTTATGAACAGAAGTTAATAGAGGCTAGGAATTTGGCTCAGTGGCATAAGTGCTTGCCTGCCAAGCACAAGATCATTGAGTTCAATCCCTATTACCAAAAAAAAAAAAAAAAAAAAGTTAATAGAAACATATTGCACGCCATTTAGGAATATTGTCCACCAGACTATTAATAGATCAGAAGAGAAAGTATAAAGATAATTCCTAGTTCCTGTTACAGTTTAATGAAAGATAGTGCTAGTAATTGACCTAAGGAATGCTAGATAAATGCCAGGCTTTAGCCTCAAGACAATCTTAGGGAGGTCAAATACTTGGAATATATTACCTCAGTGAATCTTGACAACATTCTGAAATTTGTGATATTATCTCTCCTTTGTATATAGTAATTATTACATATTTAAGGTCACATGAATATTAGTAAGTTGCACAACCACATTTTGAATATGTGTCTAAACAGTGAATGAAAAAGGTCCCCAGAATCTGTGCCTGCACATCTCAGAATTTGTTGGTATTTGCTTGTATTTTGTTTTATCTTTTTTTCACATACTATATGGACAGCCTTTGTCTGTATTGAAGTCTTTTGTAAGTATTGTGGAGTCTCACGAGTTTTTTGACATCCTACTATAACTGAAGAAGTCTATTTTAATCTAAAACATTGTGTTTGAAAAGCATACATTTATGTAAAATTAAAGTCAAGCTCAAATATAAAACAAGAACAACAAAAACCCCAAATCTGTTTGATCAACTTTTAAGCTTATTTTCTTTCTTCTGTAATAAAGACTGGTTGCATATACTGCAAGTAAAAACCAATTTTAACTTGATCACCATGAAGCTCTTAGTTGAAGCCAATAGAAAGCTAATTTAAGGGGTCTGAGGATGTGGTTCAGTGTCAGAGTGTTTTCTTAGCATGCATGAGGCCCTAGGTTCAGTTTCTAGCCCCTCAAAAACTAAAATTAACACCGATTTAAGCAGAAAGGAATTCATTGGAAAGATATTAATTAGCTCACAGACTCTCTGGGAAGGAAACATAAAGCTAGGCTCAGAAAAAAGTGTGGAACAGGGAAAGCTAAGCGGCAGTCAGCATCATAGCCAATATAGCGTAAGTTTAGTGACAGCTTTCAGTTTCTGATCAGTGAACACAGTTTTTCTGATTGGAGATGTGTGTTCAAGGTGATGTTCCATCACCACTGTTCGCTCCCTTCTTGCATCAGTGAGTCTGTATTGAGTGCATTGGTTGATCTAGATTATGTACCCATGTTGTAGCTGAAAGAAAGCTGGGAAAGAAGCAATTATGAAAATATGAAACCTTTATTGAGGGGAAGGTATATAAGACATAGAAAAGATACCAAGTAACTCTGAAGTAACTTCAAAACAGTGTATAAAGGGGTAAAAGTGAGGGATGGGAAAGTAAGTTGAACAAGGATACTGGCCCTTGACTCTGATATCCTCAAGAGTCTAAACCTATGAGGGGATTGATCTGGAGTTGAAATTTGGGGAAAATGTTAGTGAAAAAAAGAGGCATGATGTGGGCATAGTATCTACTTTAATAGGATGGGTCAAGTTACATGTTCTAACTTGGAGTATGAATGCTGTGAAGAGTACATACACAGAAAGCAAACGTTGATGAGAAGGCTGACTGCTCTTTTTGAGTTTTCTTTTGTTTTCCTTTTCTTCCCTGGCTTTGCAGTGAGCCACATCCTTGTAACACGTGGCGCGCGGGGAGGGACCAGCAGAGACCACCAGGCTTGTGTAAAGGCAACATGGTGTGGAATTTATTGTGCCTGAGTGCAGAGAGAGAGAGGGAAAAGACCTTTTGTACGGAATAAAGAGAATCGTGACCCTTTTATAGGAATGGAAAAATGACACAGGACATTAGGAAAGAAGATTTTAATAACTGTCTGTGGTTAAAGTTCTCTGGAAGTCTTTTTTTTTTTTTTTTTTTTTTTTTTTTTTTTTTTTTTTGGTCTTTTTGAGACAGGGTCTCACTATGCAGTTCAGGCTTACCTTGGACTCACTTTATAGCCCACGCTGGTCTTGAACTTGCAACGATCCTCCTGCCTCAGCCTCCTGAGTGCTAGGATTACAGGAGTGTACCACCACGCCTGGTTTAGCAGTCCTTTTTTTTTAATTTTTGTTTTAAAGAGAATAAAATAAAACAACAGAATAAAGCAAATCAGAGCAAAACAATGCAATTGGCACAGGATTTCAAAACAGAACAGGAAATCAACAGTGATTACCATAATGTCTCTTTTTTTTTTTGGAATAGTTGTCCATATTTTCTTACACAATGAATTCAAACAAGACAAAAATAGTATAAAATTGTTTCTCTGGCAGTCTTGTACCTCAGTGAGCAGTCCTTGAAGGTCCTGTGTAAATTTCCATGTAGCTCCAGATTTCCCTGAGACCTGCAAAATTCCTTGTCCTATCTTAGCTTCCTTGTGACATTCTGTACTTGTTGATGACAGCTTCGATGCTGAGCATTCCCTACTGAGAACAGTGCTTCTGCTGGCTAGTAGGTTGGGGGCCAGGAGAGTCAGGTCCTTTTAGAGGCTTACAGTCCCCAGCTCTTCTTTATTTTTTAGTTTGAGATAATATCTAAGTTCTAAGTTGCTCAGGCTGACCTTTAACTTGGGGTTCTCTTCTCTCAGGCTTTGAGTGGTGTGATTCTGGTGTGCACTACCATGACCAGTTTTGCTCTACTGGTCTTTGGAACACTTAACAATCACATGATAACATTTATTTACAGAGTACTGTATATGACTGCTTTATTCTTCTTGAGGTTCACACTTAGCCATTGGATTAGCGTATTTGTAAATTTACTCTGTAGAATGGGTCCTGAATATATTTGTATGCATGTATATAGGTTTGTATTTGTGGTACCGGTTACTGAATCTGAAGCACGTAGTCTGTCATAGGGGTATATCCCTAGTTCCTGGATTCAGAATTTTAAATCCTATTTACCACCTGAGTGTTGGCCCAGACCTGTAATCCCAACACTCAGGAGGCTGAAGTAGGTCAATTTAGGCTAGACAGAGTCCTTATCTCAAGGCAGGCTGCAAATAAATAACAAAGAAAGAACGAAACAAAGAACTCTAGTTACATGCTCATGTGATGAGTTGTTGCCTGATTAAAAATGGTTTTTCAGGCTGGGGATGTAACTCGTTGATTAGAGTACTTGCTTAGTGTTCTTGAAATCCTAGGTTTGATCCCTAACAACACACACATGTGCACGTGCATGCATATATATATATACACACAAACACACACAGATTTTCCCACTTTGGGGTAACATCATATGTCAGATTATGATTTTTTAAAAATCCATTTTATTTCAATAAATACAATTTCAAAACACATCAGTTGGGGCAACAATGGTACACACATTGTGCATCATCATCCCCAAATCATTCACGCAGAGCACAGGACCTCTGCATTCAGTTACTCAAGCAATACCAGCACAAATCTTTCTCTTCTGATTATGATTTATTAAGAGTACCAGAAATAAGCCTCGTGGGTAGCACACATCTGTAATTTTAGCACTTTGTAGTTTGAAGTAGGAAGATCACAAGTTTGAGGCCAGGGCTGCGCAATTTGGCAACTTATCAAGATCCCCCTTTTTTTTTTAAACAGGAAAAAATAAGAAATAGCAATAAACAATTTCAAAAGAGTGGGCAACTCTTTTGAAGATATTAAGATATACTGTGGTACCTGTTACTGTTAACCCCAATATCCTGTTCTGAAGTTCTGTACCAATCTCACTGCATTGTCATTGATTGGCTTTGTTCTGTCTTGTTTTGTTGTATTTTCTACCTTCAAAATAAAAAAGAGGCTAGTAGGAGAATAACAATAATCAACACTTTGTGTATTGCTAAATTCACAGTAGTTGTTCAGGGTAGAGGACAAAGGCATGAAACATAGTCCAGAAAATTACTAGCACAAACTTTCCTTTCAGTGAACCAAGAGAAACCAGCTGTGTAACTGTTTTAAATGTATTGTGTTTATATATATTTTTTCCTTTTGTTTTTCTTCCTTTCCCTTTTCTCCCATCACAGTTTTTCTTATCTTTTGAACAGTTTCTTCCCTATTCACAATATCTATTTTGCATTTTGGATCTTGTTTTCTCTTTCAGATTCTCATACTAGTAAGACAATATATTTACACATGGGAATCTGGTTTATTTCACTTACAAGTATGGTCTTGAGTTGCATATTTATTATTTGAGAGATTTAAATTAAAACAACACTGAGATTCCATCTCAAGAAAGAATTGCTGTAATCAAGAAAACAATAACAAATGTTGGAGGGGTTGGGTTATTATTGTTATTCTCCTACTCTGTTCGTGGCGAGAGTGCAGACTGATGTGGAAATTAGTGTGGAGAGTTCTTAAAAATCTAGGACTACAGGTCCCATTCGACCCACTAGTCCCCTTGTGGTATTTTCCCAGAAAAACTTAAAACATCCTACCACCAAGATACATGTGCACCCATGTTTATAGCAGAACAATTTGTAATAGTTAAATCTTGGAAATAACCCAAATGTCCATCAGCCAAGGAATGGATAAAAAAGATTTTTTTATATAACGGAGTACTACTCAGCCATAAAAAACATAAACTTGAAACTTTTATCAAGATCTTGTATCAATGTAAATGTTAAAAGGGGGTGGGGGCTGGGTTGTAGCTCAGTGCCAAAGGCCTTGGTTTCAAGCCTCATTACAACTAAAAAGACAGAGAGTTCAGTCCTCATTACAACCAAAAAAAGTCTTATGTAGAGTATAGACTTAGGTGTTTTTGTATTTTTTTAAGTGCTAGCAATTGAAACCAGGCTCTTGTGTAAGTACTCTACCACTAAGCTAAACCCCCAGTTCAAGACTTGTAAAGAGACATCAAGAGATTTATTGGGCAGGAATTTAAGAGTAAACACTCAGAAATATAATGCAGGTTCTCAAGAGAGAGAGACTAGGTATATTTGGTAGTTGAAATCTGTGGAATTTGAGTCTATGGAAAGCTTTATCTTGAGTCTTGAGAAAGGGTGATTTACCTACAGACCCATAATAACCCAGTCATAGGGAAAGGTCTATTTTGCAGGTGAAAAAGATGATCTGTTCACAGGTGAAAGAATCCAATTACAGTACAAAAGGGAATGACTGAACACATTTGCAGGTAAAGGATAATTGTCCAGGCTTACTGTTTTTTGGGCAGAAAAGAAATACATTTTAGACTAGGCTTGTGTTCTGAAGCTGCAGTTTTCATTTTTAAAATTATGATTTTTCTTGTCACCCTTCAAATTATATTTATTTCTTCTGGCCTACATCATTCCCCATGGGACATGGATCCTTTATTCTAAAGAGGGTACAGAAGGGCCAACGGTCGGTCTTTACTATTGAACCCTATTTGTTTTGAGGTATTTACACAAGAGTTAGACTGTTTCAAATAGAAGTTGCCAGCCATGTATCAAATACAGTCATTTATGCAATGGTAATTAAGGGAATACTGATATGAATAATTAAATGAATAGGCCACCATTTATGTAAATAATGCTTTTAACATTAAAGCATGTGTTAACATATTAATGTTTGCATCTTTATATATCAGTGTTTCTGTGATGTTTTTGTGTATGAAAGTTTACCTTTACTATCCTTTCTGTTTAAAGGTACTAGTACTTGGAAACAAGAGAGATCTTCCAAATGCCTTGGATGAGAAACAGCTAATTGAAAAAATGTATGTTTTAAGAATGAGTAATATTGTTTCAAAAGTTTAATTCTAAATTATACTACTTTGCCTGTTTTATTTTTTTTTTACTGTTTTAGTATCATTATATTCTTCAATAATGTTCATAACCATATTTTTAGTGGATAAATTTGGCCTACCAGAGAAATGAATCTCTAAAAGTTTAGTAATTATAATACATTGTTCAGCATAATGAAAATAAACTTTGAGCAAAATTGAGCAAGAAATGATAAATATGACAACTATTTTAAGCACAGACTTACTCTTAACTCTGTTTCTTTAGGAATCTGTCTGCTATTCAGGATAGAGAAATTTGCTGCTATTCAATTTCTTGCAAAGAAAAGGATAATATAGGTAAGAAATGACTTATTCTTTAAAGAAGAAGATATCACTGGGAGATATATAATGCTTCTTATTGTTTATTATTTCCATTTCTGTTAAAGTGACTTTCTTTACAATGCAATATTGCTATGGCTTCAGGAAATAACTTACATATCTTAAATCTTTTCTATGCTGTTTAAATGCAAGAAAACTTTGAGGGTAAGCATTATGTTATATCAATTTATTGAATTAATTTTTGCAGAGCTAGTATTCAATTATGCTTTGTAACAAGTGGCTTTTGTTTTTTGTGGGCTTTTTTGTTTTGTTTTGTTTTTTGTTTTTTGAACTCTCATAGCAGGCAAGCTCTTGAACCACTGAGCTAAATCCCCAGCCCCAAAGTGGCATTTTTGAAATTTAAGACTTTATAAAACTTGGTCTGTAGGTACTATAACAATTTCTCATTTATTGAGCTAGTACCTTAAAAATATATTAGCACTCTGTTAGAAGTAGCAACCAGAAATACCTTTTATCTATATTCATAGTGATATCTATATTAATTTCTGAAGACTCAAACAAGAAAGTACTGTAAACTAGATGGCTTAAAACAACAGAAACTGGTAACTGGGCCTGGTGGTACACGTTTGTAATCCTAGCACTTAGGAGGCTGAAACAGGAGGATCACAGTGAGTTGGAGACCAGCTTGGGCTACATACGAGTTTAAGGTCAGTCTGAACTGCAGAGCAAGACCCTGTCTCAAAAATAAAACAGAAAATCCAGCAACTGGTATGAGGATATAGCTCAGTAGTGCTTGCTTAGTATGCAGAGGTTTAATCCCCAGTACTGCAAAAACAAAACTAAAATTCCAGAAACTTATTTATCATGCTCAGGAGGCTAGAAATCTAGAATCATGGTGTCAGCAGTGTCATACACAGTCTATCTAAAGGCATAGGGCAGGATTCATCCTTTCTTCTCTCTAGCTTGTGGCTGCCAGCAATTCTTGCCATTCTTGGACTTATCGATGAGCTGTTCCAGTCTCTGCCTTGCAGTCATACTTCACATGGCTTTCTCCTCTTTGAAAGTACTGTCTTATCTAAAAGAACACAAGCCACTGGAAAAAAGGGCCCACTCTAATTCAGCATCTCATTTTAACTACTTCTCAAGAGACCCTCTTTCCATATAAAGTCATATTCTGAGGTTCTGGGTTGATGTAACGTTTTAGAATACTGCTCAACAATAGTACATTGAATTTAAAACCATAGATACGTGCATATGTACACATGTAATATAAACACCAACTTAGGGCTCTTAAACTAATTAGTTTCTTAAGTTGGTGAAGGATTATTTAAATAAAAATGTATTAGAGCAAATGTAGCAAATAGTATATTTTAGAAGACACTCACACTTTCTTTTCTTCAGCCCTAATTCAATATGCATTTGTTCTTAGCATACTTAACATTTTTCAAGTTAAATCCATTCTTTCTTCCTGCACCTGACACTTCTGCCCCCAATTCCAAACTGTTCTAATGTACTGAAAGTGTATAGATGTGATTCTTAGTTTCCTCTAAAGACCATCCAAAAGCAGTGTCAGTCCTGGGATCTCTACTGATCACCACAAATTTTCCTCTGTTGAATAGATAATAGGTGACTTGTTACATTGTGAACACTGATATAATTGGAGAACAAACTCTACAAAGCATTTATAGTTACTGAGACCTTATTGGAAGCCTTTTTGTGTTAAATGTGCATGGAAGAAATGCTAGTTAAATCAAGATACACTGTCTTCAGAGCAGCTCATTTACTTCTACATCAGTGTTTCTCAGCTGGAAGATTTCTTTTCAGGAGACAAGTGGCAGTATCTGGAGGTAGTTTTTTGGTTGTCATAACCAAGAAGGTGAGGTTAGCATCTGGTGAACAGAGACCAGAGGTGTTGCTTGTCTGTAGTTATCACAGCAAAGGTTTAGCCAAAGAAAACTTTGTTCTTCACTAATTGTACATTGTGCTGTTTTGTAAGGTTATTACTTTTGTTTTCTGTAGTGTTTTGGAAAATAGACAAGAGAATGCTTTTAAATGAAGGAAAAGAAATTTTTTACCAGTCTCAAAAGCTAGCCAAATTCTTGCCTGAAAAAGTCTGTTGAGCTCATTTACACAGGAGATGCACCAGAGATGATAACTTTAGTTTAGACCAGCCCAAGCTGGTCTCCAACTCACTGTGATCCTCCTGTTTCCTAACTAATTAAGGCTGATGTTCATGGCTTGCTGTATGGCTCAGTAGTTACCAGCTTTGTAATTTTAGAACTCTTGGCTGGAAGTGTTACCAAGTTTAAGGAAACTGATCACCTCTTAGAGTAAAAGAAGGTAGTTTGCAAATCAGAATGTCTGTTTATTTGGAGTAAGAAATGTAACTAACAGCCAAGTGCTTACTTAGACTTCTTGAGTTATCAAGTTAGGATTCCTTTCTTTTTGTTATTTATTTATATTTATTTTTTTTACTGTTGTTATATATGTTATTTTGTATAACATGTATTGTTTCCAGAATTTTTGCTTTATTGAATTGCTCCCAAAAGTTATTTCGTTGGACATAGTTCTATATTGCACTTTCTGTTTCCTTATGTGACACAGGAAGTACTTTAATCTTATTAGGAATGTGTTCTTAAATCACATGAAAAATGTTACTTTTGTGACGATGATCTTTGCAAAGATTATTTGTATCTGTGATGCTTTTTACGGTGTATGACTTCTCCTGTCTCTCTAGGTGTATTTATTTTGTATTTAGGATGCTGTTTTCTGCCCTGTGTCCAGAAAGTTTTTTCTTTGATTTTTAGTGAATTGCTTTCCTTTTCTCCCTTACTACATGGCATTGCAAAAGAATAATAGAGGACCTATTTCAGCAGTTATGCTAAATCATTGTTTTCACAACCATGAATAAGTCCTGTTTGTTCAAATCCCAACTCTAGTCTATTCTTTGTGTGTGTGTCTTACAATTTCTCTACCTGGGAAACTGAAAGATTGTATTTGGTACTGGGTTTCTTAGTTACTTTTCACTCACTAAGACAAAATACCTTATCCCCAAAATTAAGGAAGGAAAGGTTTATTTCTTAAAGTTCTTGGAGGTTTCAGTCCATTCTCAGTTGGCTCCAAGGCAGTGTGACAAGGCAGCAGAGGCATTCGTGGTCATGCAAAACAGCAAGGTATGAACTGGCAAGAGAGCAGGACACACCTCTTTCCCACCGTTACATCATATCCTGACACCACCCCTAGGTGGGTGTAGCACACCAGCAATCTGAGCACTAGATAATGAGCCAATCACAAACGCGTAATTGCATGAGGCTTGGGGTCACTGACATAAACCATAAATGATACCTGGGAACTAGAAGATTGACTTTGCACTTATCTTTCAGACTTGAAGGGTAGAGTCTCAGATGTTTGTTTTTTAGGTAGATAACACATTTTAAAGAACTCAAGACAGTCATTCAGCGTTCTGACTCAGCTGCCTTCTCTTCTCAGTCTCTGTGTGCTTTCCCTGGCTAATCTTAGCACTTTAGCTTTAACTGCCACCTATATTATGATGCTGTTCCAGTCCACATCTCTTCCTCAGACCTGTAGGCCTAAAACATCTGTCAGAAGGCTCCATATGTGTTGATGTGCCTTCAGTTGAAATTCTTAGTCCTTTTCCTGTAGCTGTTCTCCTTTAGCCTCTGTTTCAGTCAGCAGCTTCATGATTTATATACCCATTCTGGCCAGAAGAGTCTTCCCCATGTATGACATCATCTGGCTGCCTATCACCTAGTGGTTTTCAGTAAGGGACACTTCTGCTCCCCAGGGAACATTTTGTATGTTTGGTTGTCACATTGTGGGTGGGGGTAATAGTGGGATGTAGTGGTTAAGGTCAGGGATGCTGCAAACTGCAGAACACAGAAAAGGGTTTTTTGTTATTATTGTTTTTTCCCTTTTAATGCAGCTTAAAATGTCAAGGGGGCAAAGTTGTGAACCTTTTCCCCTTGCTTTCACAAGAGAGTCAACCACCTCTCCTACCCCCATGGTTTAGCCATGTTTTCTCTATCTCTTAAAGTCTGAAATGGCTGGGTTTGGAGGTGCGCACTTGTAATCCCAGCACTTGGGAGGCCGAGGCTGGTGGATTGCTGCAAGTTTGAGCCCAGCCTGGGCAGTAGTGAGGTTAAACTCAGCCTCAACTGCATAGTGAAACCTGACTCAAAAATAAAACAAAACAAAAATACAACAAAACAAAAGCCCATAAAAAGTTCCATACTGGTTCGTGCTCTTTTTGATTCTCTTTTGCACTTGCAATTTCTTTGCTTGGCATTCTTGGCTCTTAAATTCAAATGGTTATTTATGTCATTTCTATTATGCTTTTAAAGTTTTTTGAAGGCAGGGAATTCTGTATCTTTGCATCCCTGGTAATTTGCACACAGTATTGAGTTTATAGGCAGTGAAAAAAAGTATCAACTGTCCTGCCACAATTTTATTTGCTCATTTTTAAATTTTGCAGTACCAATGATAGAACCTAGGGCTTTCACACTGGGCTATATCACTAGTCCTTTTTTATTTCTTGAGACTGTGTCTCATTAAATTGCCCAGCCTGGGTTCCAGTGTTTGATTCTCGGTCTCAGTCTCCTGGAGTGCTAGGATAACAGGTGTATATAACCACATCCAGGTCAGAGTTTAACTTAATTTAGAAGGCTCTTCATTCTCTGGTATTTTTCTCAGGTTGTCCTTGTGAATTTAAAGTTAACATACATAGTACAGTAACATAGATATAAAAAAGCAGAAGATACCCAGCTGTGTTTTAAAGTATTGTCTCTGTTTAATGTTGAGTTTAACTTTGGTATCCTTAACTTTGACTTTTTCCCCCATCTTTAGATATCACACTTCAGTGGCTTATTCAGCATTCAAAGTCTAGAAGAAGCTGAAACATCTCCTGAAGTCTTCCAGTCCTTCTTGGCTATAATCCTAGAATTATTGTCCGTTCCTCTGAAGTACTTCCCAGAATATGGTCCTTCGTATACCTAAGAAATTGCCTTTTTCAGAGTTTATTTCTCATGTGCACTGCTGAAGATGTGTAACCCTGTTCCTTTACAAAGAATCATCTAGAGTTGTCATGATAAAGTCAGCACACACAAAAAGGTTTCTCCCAATACAGAACTTGTGTTAAACAGTATGTAGAGCTTTTTGTTTTGTTTTTATTTTTACCAAAAGAATGTGTATTTTTACCATCTTAAATCCAGAAAGTTGCATATTTCCATTCTGGTCTTTCCGGGCCAGTTTTTTATATTGGTTTTCAGTAAATGTCTATATTTCATTATAGAGTCCAATAGCTTAATACTGATAATGACTTGATACAGCATGAAATTTCTAGTGCCACACACAGTATTTAGAAAACCTTTTAAGCCTGATTAATGTGAGAACATAAACATAATGTTTATCTTATCTCACAAATGCATGTGAAATGTATAATTACATCTTAGGAATTAAACAGTGGTCTGCAAACAGGTAGCAGAGGCATCGTATACATGTTGCTGGTTCTTTATACTGGAGAGATACTACCTGATGAATTTTACAGACATTCTGATTTTTGAGAATCCTTTATGAGAGAGAACAGTTAGAAGTGTGATAGGAGTTAGTGCATGCTGTTTTATATCTGCCCGGATCATACATTTTTTTAAAATGCTTTTTCCTTTCAGTACACTTTTTTAAGGGGTTGGGAATTGAAGATTTTCTCAAAAGCTTTCATGAATTTGGAGTATTTCAGCCAATGTAATAAAGCCTGTTAAGAATGTCAGACTTTGTTCAAATACCTGTTTGTTCTTTGTATCTCCCAGTCATCAAATCAGTGCTGCTGCATGATATTTTAACTCTTGACTTTTTATATCCAGTCATGAAGTTGACTTTCAGCACAAAAGACACAAACAGATAAAAATTTTTGTTTTTTCTTACTAACATAAGATTTGGCACTCTTTTGTCTAGTGCCATTAGACGTCTTGATTATTGTGACAACTCTAGACCTGCCTGCTTTGTCTAACATAATCATGTACAGCGTCTACAGGTTGGTTAGTAGTCAATCACACAGAGAACTGAGGAACTGATGCTGTTTTATTGTTTGCTTCTATGATACATAAATGTATAAAAACATAAAATGAACATATTTTATAGTTTAGTGATCTCCATATACATAAAGGGACATACTAGTACTGGTTCACTTATAAATTGTTATTCATACAGACTGCTGTAGTACATACAACTGTGGTACAATTGCTTATATGTTGCCTCACACTGTGTGTGATTTTGTTTCTTGTGTTAAGCAGCACTTATGTAGACAGTGCATTTTCAGATGTGTTGAACACTCAGTGTAGTCAACAGTAATTCTTTTAATGAATACCAGTTTTAATTTATAGACTGCCATGGCCTTAAAACTATTCTGTACAAAGTACCGCACTGTATTGCACAGGCACTACTTGTTGTTCTTCATTCACATTTTTACTGAGGAGACTGTGTGGGCTTTAAAAGTTCTCTTGTTATTCTTTGAGGCATATTGCACAGTTCCCAAATAGAATGGGTAGTTCTGTAAATGAAGGGATATTTGAACTTGCTACCATAGTTTAATATCATTAATGGTCACCAGGTAAACAATGTGGGAATTTGGGCCTAAAAAGAAATTGGAGCTAGAATGTGTGACTGTTTGGGTACTACCTAGGTTTGTTAACTGACTTATAGCTGGCCCTTAACGTGTTTGTGTGACTATTTATTGCTTTCAGCATTTCAAGACATCTAAATGCTACTTATCAACATTTTCCTGTGCATAACCTTTGCATGTAAAAACTTAACAGTTACCAAACTTTGTAAATAAGTACATTTTATTTAGGTGGATGCATTTTTCGTCTATTTACTGCTCTTCTTAGCTTTATTCAATAAAATTGCATTTTGAGGGTTGTATTAGCAGTTTAAAAATGTGCATCATGATGGAAGGTGCAGACTTTTTTGGAAAAGCATAGCAAAAAAATTACCACGAGGAGAGGAAGGTCTGTAGACCATCTGCTAGAGAGAATCAACTCATCTGTCAAAAGAGTTGGGTCTGAGGGCTAGTTAAACTAGAAATAAACTTTTAACATATCCAGAGTTGATATTGTGATTTTTTTTTTTTTTTTTTGAGGGAAGGGGATGCTGCTACTTTTTAAAAGTTTTGTCATGATAACTTGAAATGTGGGACTTCTAAATGGCTGGAGTTGGTAACACATTTTCTAGTCCAGTTTTTAAACTGAAAGGAAAGTCCTCCTAATTAACTAAAATTGAAAAGACATGCCTACTTACTGACTTCAGAATAAAAATATTTTAAATAAAAATTTTCATTGTGGAGGTTTTCCCACAGAGGCACATTTGTTTAGAATAAAGAATTTGGTTCATTTTGCTAGGATGTTATTTATTGTTTGTATGATGAATCAGTATTTATCTCATCAGAGCTATTGGAGAAAAATATTCAGTAAAGTTATATGCCCTGTAAAGTTTGTTCAGCTTTCTCTGTGTTCATGGTGTCATTCTGTATAGCCAAACCCTAATTGACTAATTGGATGTGTGAGAAATATAAATTTCTCAGCAGAAGTCAGGAGGGAGAAAAGATGCCTTAGCTTTATTTTACCAGCATTACCATAGGAATTTTTCTTTCTTTTTTTGCTATATTGATGGAGCTATTTTGTCCAGTTGACCCTTGTTTTTTTTTTTTTTTGGAGACAGAGTCTCGCTATGCAGTTCCGGTTGGCCTTGAGCTCACTTTGAATCCCAGGCTGGCCTCGAACTCAAAACAATTCTCCTGCCTCAGCCTTCCAAGTGCTGCGATTACAGGCGTGAGCCACCACACCCGGCTTCTTTTTTTAATCATATTTTATTAGGGTATGTTAATATTACATGATGATTGGGTTTATTTCTGGAAGTTGGTACATGCAGTTACTAAATTATTTGGTCTCTTCTCACTGGTCTACTGGAGTGTGAGAGGTGAGACGGGTTGTTGAAGATACATATTTAGATGAATTCTCTGTATGTTTACATCTGTTTATAAAATTTTTTTTTTGTTTTATTTTGGTGCTAGCAAGTAACAGTTAAGCTCAGGCCTTGGCACTGAGCTGCATACCAAACCCTTTAAATGTTTTCCTTTTTAAAATTTTGAAATAGAATTGCTGAGTTGCCCAAACTGGGCTTGAATTTCTGATCCTTTTGCCTCAGCTTCACATAGTGATGGGGACTATAAGTGTGCCACAACAGCCAGCTCAAAAAAACAGATTTCTAAAATTAATTCCTTTGATTCTGTCAAGTAAATTGGGTGTTTTGGGCCCTGCCTACTTTTGTCTACATTGATTTTTATTTTACTTTTTTGACAAGGAATTGCTTGCCCATTGTCCATGTAGGATGAGTTACACTGGAATTCTGTTGATACTGTAATTATAGGCTCTCAAAATGTTCTTTTATTTTGCTCACTCTAATGGAAACCTAAATGTAATATAGCAGGTACCATATTGTAACACATCCAGCTGGCCTAATGCTTGGTTCTAAAAATGTATGCCACTGCAGGGAAACTTATCATGTTTTGTCTTCAAAGTAATTTCATTTTTTATCACAAACTTTTAAGATCATGCTCTCAACAAAGCATATGCAATGAAGAGACTCGAAAAGGAAGACCGTAAAGTAAACTAGCCTCACAGACTTCCTGTAAGTTGCTGTTACACAAGTGTGTGGCCCATTGCAGGTGTTTCCTGTTGGTTGATAAATACTCTCCACACAATTTCTGTTCAGACTTCAGCTATTAATAAAAGTACTCTCATCTCTGGTGCCTCTTGAGTGTTCACTGACTTAATAGGCTATAGTTGTTAATTTTCATTGTTAGCAGTAACAGTAGTCATTCATTATTCAGGTTTATCAATTAATTCTCTCTTTAATTAGTCTAAAATCCCAAGACAGCTGGCTTTTCGGTAATATAAATTTCTCAGCAGAAGTCAGGAGGGAGAAAAGATGCCTTAGCTTTATTTTACCAGCATTAGCAGGTTTTGCATTAATAAAAGGAAAAGATGTGGGAAAGTCTTTAATTTAAATGGTAATGTAGGTTGGTCCTGTGAAGGGTGCTGGATTCGCACTTAAGAGTGGGTTTTCTTTGCTTTAACTGGTGGTGTGACTGATGAGTTGCTGAAACCCCATTGTGCCTTAGCTTTCCAGTCTAAGAGGAAGTAGAGGGAATTTCTAATACAAATTTTTCCACTAACAAGAAGCTATAATTCTAGCAGTTTAGAGGCCTGGACAGTGTTAAAGAGAAAATGCCCACTTGGTTGACAGGAATGTGTTATTTTCATGTTCCTTCAACTTGAAAATAATTAAAAACATTTACTTTTTTTTAAAGCTGCAGACACACCCAATGCATTTTTCTACCTTTCAATTTTAACATAGGTAAGGGCTGGATATCATAGGTGTTTTACAGATTGGTAACAATTTAAGTTTTGTTTGAAGGAAATGATGCTTATAAGCTTATATTGTACATGGGGAGGCATTTATACATTTTGAAGTATTTTTTTCCCAGGTTGCAGAAAAAAATGTTTACTGTGGTATACGCTCTGGAAAAGCACCTAACTACTAATTTGGAAGTAAATGGTTTAGAGGTAATGTTTTAACACTTTAAAACTGCTGTCTTGTTATGTTCTGCTAGAACTTGAATAGAGCTTTGGAGAAACCTAGAATAGTTGGAAAACACTTCCTTTCAAAATAAAGGAAGGGAGTCAACAAAACTTGTGTGTTCCTTTTGAATGTGGGAAGTAGAACATTAACCAGTGACCCAGTGCGCTCCCTCCTCCATTCAGTTCTTCTGTCCTCTACATTTTGACCTGGCCTCAGTGTTGTAACATTCTATACCCCACAGTGTGTTGTCCTGTTTCTACATTTCAAGGGAGTCTGTCATTTCTGTGTAAGAGTTAAGACCTTCTTCTTTTCTACTTTGTGTACTGCTCTAGAGAGGAAAATTCATATCACTGTTTTGCATACGATTAGCTAATTTATGAAATTAGCCCTCACCAGCAGGGTTAAAAATGTGTAATTTTTCCTTTCTGTGGAAGCATCTGTACCCTAAACTGGGACATGATACATCTGGGACACTGATGGCAAACCTTTTAGAGCTTCAGTGATTAACAGCCTGTCATGGCATGAATGCTGTAGGATCACCACCATTTATATGGTGAATATCATTTTTTGATGGATGGTACATTTGGTTTAGAACTTAGGGCAGAGGGAAGGTTAATACTTGTAAGTTCCTTTTATTTTATGAATAAGTTAACTTTTAATAGGTAAGTCACATGATTCAGAAATTTAAATTTAGGGCCAGGGATATAGTTTAGGGAACTAAGTGCCTGCCTGGCAAGTGCAAGGTCCTGAGTTCAATTCGTGGTACAAAAAAAGACAAAACAGTTTAACACAGCCATTGTTTTCATCTTTGTATCTAAGTGACCCCTTCTGCCTGCCTGATATTCAGATGTATCAGTTTATTTTTCTAGTATTTTCAAAATTCTGATTTTTTTTTTTCGGTTGGTTTTTTGGTATTGGGGATCAAACTCATGACCTTGCACTTGCCAGGCAGATGCCTACACCACTGAGCTAAATCTCCAGCCCTGGTATTTTCTTCATACAAAATACAAAGAATGAATAGAAATATGTATATTCTTTAAAAGAATCTCTTTTCCTACATGTGCCTACCTTGCGTAAAAGGCATACTGATTTGAACATGGCATTTCTCCACAAACTGCCCTGGCTATCTTCACTTATCTATATAGAGTTCCTCGGCCCCATGCCTGCAATTTAAGTGGGTGGTTTTCATTCTGAAAAGGTTCTATAATTTACTTAACCAATACTCTGTAATATTTTGCCTTTATAACACCCCTGTAGTGAGTCCTTTTGTATGTGTGTGTAGGTAGCAATTACAGAAACATCTGAGTCAAAGGGCATATATATTTGTTCTTTGGATAGAAATTTTCTTTCATTGGTGATGTACCAATTTGTCCCTTTTTTTTTTTTGCAGGGGAGTTTATATTGAGACAGAGTCTTGTTATGTAATTCAGACTACTAAACTTGAACTTATTATGTAGCCCAGGGTGGTGTCAGACTCACAATGATCCTGCTGCCTCAGCCTCTCATGTTCTAGTATTATAGGGATATGCCACCACATCTGGTCCTTCCCCCTGTCTTGATAACTTAATAAATTTGGATTTGTGCTCATTAAATAGGAATTGTAATTGCATACACGTGTGTGTGTGTGTGTGTGTGTGTGTGTGTGTGTGTGTGTTTTAAAGACAGACTTGCTACGTAGTTTAGTGTGGCCTTAAACTCTAGCACATGCACAGTGATCTTTTTGCCTCAGCCTCCCTAAAGTGTGGAGATCATTGGTTTGTGCCACCCCTCCTGCCTACATATCATTCTATTTTTAATTTTTTTTTTAAATAATGTTTACTTTATTCTGGACTGTGTCTTCCCTAAATCATATGTAGAAACCCCTTAACCCCTCTTTTTGGCTGTTAGAATGGTTCCCTCCTTATACAATTTTTTGAGTTTGTTTCTTCAATTTTTTGAGACAGAATCCTGATACGTAGTTCAGACTGACCTTGAACTCAGTATGTAATCCAGGCTTACCTTGAACTCATGGCAGTCCTCTTGCCTCAGCCTCCCAAGTGCTGGGACAATAAGACTTTGAACATAGGCTATATTGCTGATCTATATCTCCAGCTCCCAGACTCAAGCTTGATTCTAAGAAATGGAGTGTTGGGCTGTGCATTGTGAAGGATGTCTTTAAAGGCATTGATAAACATGTCAGCCAGGTTATATCCTTCCAGCTACAAAGGCAAGGAGGTTCAATTAGGATCATTTTTAATTCTTCCAACAGGCCTCCAGTGTATACGTGCTGGGTAATTTTTTTTCCTTTGTTTTTTGAGTTAGGGTCTCAAAAAACCAGGCTGATTATGAATTGAACTCACTATGTAGTATGGCCCAACCTTGCCTCAAACTTGCTACAATTATGCTGCCATGGCCTTCTGAGTGTACAGACATGTGCCACCACTTCTGGCTGTGCTAGGTACTTTTACTAGATACTGGCCTTAAAAGGTTCACACAGTTGAAGAGTATTCACAAGAGGGCCTGCTACATGTATAGCACTGTTGAAACTATTTATTTGTCTTTTTGAGGCAAGGTCTTGCTAGGCAATTAAGGCTGGCCTTGAGCTCAGCCGAGGCTGGTCTCTAACTTGCAACAATCCTCCTACCTCAGCCTCTCCATTGCTGGAATTACAGGCATGCAACATCACACCTGACTTTGAAAGTATTTTTATGTGTGTATGTGGCAAGTACCATATATCTGTGGTAAGTACTGTTCTTACCATTTCTCCATCTTATGGATGGGGAAATGGGTCTGGAAAAATAACTTACCAAGGTTAGAGAGGAGAGCTCTGATTTTAACATTTGGCAATCAGACTTCTGAGTTTGTGTTCTTACTGTTACTTCTTTGGCCTTCGCCAGTGAAGCCTTTTTTTTTTTTTTTTTTTTTTTTTTTGCAACACAAATACCTACTTTTGGTACGGGAGCTTTTGGGCAAAGCCCTGCTTTCAGGGATCTTAACAGAATGGGCTTGTGCTGTCATGGCAAAACAGCAATCAAAAAGACAAGCCACAGTGAAGGGCAGAAAGAAAGCTATAATTAGCATGGCCATACCAAGAAGGGCAGATAGTTTCAGGTTCCATAAGAGACAGAAGCTTTGGTATTTTACAGCAAGGGAAAGAAAGGCAAGGGTTGAGGGTTTGCACTTCGCAGGGCACAATTCTTGGTCTGCTTGATCACCATGTCAGGACTGGTAGAGAGCCATCATTGTTCAAGGAGACAATTCAGTTTAACATAGATTCTGGGTTCTCCACTTGTGGGGTGTTGGGCTACTCTGAAGTGATAGCTGGTTTACAAGAATGACTGGAGACTCGTGTATCAATCCAAAAGTTCAAGAATTTAGTGACCCTGCAAATAATGAAAATTACTTTTATGTTGGTGCTCTCAGTCGTGAAGAAGAATGAAATAGGTTAGGTAAAATTAGGTTACATCGTATATTGATGGAGACCACAACCAAGTGTCTCTGAGCAGGATTTAAAATTAACCAGTTGGCTTTCCATGTTTATTTGTGAGTCTGTCCCAGACCTAAACCCCTTGTCTGGAGATGCACAGCAGATTCATAGTAGGAGAACCTCTATGAATCACTGGTCCCAGCTGAGGCCCATAGTGGCCTGTAATGCTGTGATGCCTCAAAGGACAAGCTAAGGCCACAACAGAGGCCACCTGGGTCCATCTCCAGTTAACTAGGTAGAGGCTGAGGCTGCAGGTGCCTACTCTTGCTGCATCAGTCCCACGGTGAATGTCACACTGGAGATAAGACCGACCGTTCTGTTCTCCTAATTAGCATAATTTACTATTTAGTGAAGTCTTTGAACTGACTCCCAAGGTCCTGTTCAGCTCCTACATTTCTGCAGTATCCCCTCCCTTTGTTTGAAAACCAAATAAATACAGGCCACTCAGAGAAGTTCTTTGTCTCAGTCCCTAGAATCTCAAAATTCTTCTAAAAGATTTTGACTCTCTTGGAGCCCTAAAATCATACCACTTTGTCTCTTATTTAAACCTTTGCTGTCCACTTTTTTGAGAGATTGCAGGCCTGATCAGTCTGTGATATTAATAGGTTTTTAGACACTAAAGTCATGCCTACATTCAGAGCTGTTGTGTATGCATGGTGGGGGTGCGGCACAAGTCTCCCTGCTTCGCTGTGGGTGGGTAGGTCACTGGGATTCATAAGCTCCCTGTTGGTATAGCATTAAAGATACATAATTTAAGGAAAGGAAGGCATTTTGTTGGATGCTTTATTGGAAAGGAGAGAAAAGGAAGTAAAAGCTACCCTAGTAAGTCAGGGTAGGGAGTTCTGGAAAGATGGAGGAGCTGAGGGCCCTTCTTTCCTGGCTGCTTTTGTGGGGTCAGGAAGCCTGGAGTTTGCCATAATCTGATTGGTTCCCTGGGCTATCATAGATGGATCCCAGGCCCCAAGACCACTTGCTGCACCATCCATCTGCGGTCTATGCATTTTTTTAAGTGAGCTCTATTTGGCTTCCTGTGTTCTGTCTGTGAAATTCATGAGTTTGTTAAAGAAACTTTACATAGAAGGTTGAGTTAGCAGTGATGGGAAATAGAGTGAAAGTGTATCTATGTATTAGATACATAGATACATAAAGGGTTGAGTTAGCAATTAAGTAAAAGGGAAATATTTATATCTCCAAACGGGAGCCTATGTCGTATATACTGAGTTTTGTTATATAGCCCCTACCTTTTTTGTCTCCATTGTATGTTATCTCACTTGGGTAGGGGCAACTATAGCTGGGTCCAGGCAGCTATCAGCTCTCTCACTTGTAATTGTTTCCTCTAGCAATAGTATAACTTTCTAGTCAAGATTTGCCAGAAAGCTTACTGAGGCCTTTATCCTATTATTTCTCTGCCTATCTACCCTCTTTCCCAACAGCTGAGCAGAGATCTGATTCAAAATTTTAAGGAAATAAAAAGTATAGAACATGAAGGCAGAGATACAAAGCATTATCATGCTTTTAGTTATCCACTGGGCATCTTCAGTGCCAGTCTGTTAAGTCCCTGTTATATTTTACTGTGATATAGTCTCTGATCATCCTGTGAGGTTATGACCGGAAAATCTATCACAAATCAAACTGTTGCTGAAGAGTACATAATAATCCTTTTTCTTTTGGTTTATTTTAGCTCAAGAAGGAATACTTTCTGAACCTGGCCCTAAATCATAGCTGTGTCCTTTAGGGCCAGTACCGTCAACATTATTACCCAGTGGTGGCTTGGAATCTGATAGAGGTCTTTCTTTTCTGGGGGATTAGTGTGATGGTTTGTATCTAGATGTCCCTACAAAGCCTCATGCCCTCTTGGTGAGACTTTTTAGAGGTGCTGGATTTAAGGACTGTGTGCTTCTGGGTTACACGTGCATCCATCCTGAGTGTGAATGCTACCTGCCCTAAGAATGGGTAACTTGGTTGGAATTTGAGGGACAGAAAGAGGCCATCAATTGCTGGTTCTTCGCCACTTCACTGCTTTGAATTGTTGTGCTCTGCAATGCCCCTCTGTCATGCCGCCCTTCCCTTGGATTCAGCCAGCTGTGCACGGAAACCTCTACAAACTCAGCTAAAATAAACTTTTTTCTCCTTTAACTTTGGATGTGGAATATTTTGTCTCAATATTGAGAAAAGTAACTAAGACAGCCAGCTGTTTGTAAAATAAATTAACCTGGGCTAAAGTGTGAGAAACCTGGAATGTAGCCATTTTTCTGACTGGAGCCAACAAGCTCCTGAAATGGAGCCCCTAACCAGATTTTCTTCTGTTGTGGAATAATAGACTCCTGTGGGGACACCTGTGAAAATATCTTCAAAACCGTTAAACCTAGGCTATTAGCAGCTATTGTCAGTTTTACCATGAAAAACAACTTACAGAAACTGGATGGTTTTCTCTGGTGATCAAAGAGATTTATTTTGTTAGGGCTTTTTTCTAGAGCGAGGCAGAATATGTCATGAAGGTAGTCTACAGTCAGTTGTGGTGCAAGACATTTAAATTAAAATTTGCAAAGTGGGCTAGGAAGAAAACACAGAATGTGCAACATCACATTCAGTTTTCAGGTTCTAGGCAGGTGGAATCTCTAGGTCAGGGTCTAGGGCTGTGGTTTGGCTTCCAGCAGAGTCCTAAAACAATCTGTGTCTTCAAAAGACTGGTTCAAGCTCTGTATTTTTATTGTATTTTTTACCTGTGAGACTTTGGGGAAAGAAAAAAAAACATCCAGCGAAGAGAACATTAGTTATTGTGTGCTGCTGCCATGTGTTCTAAGAAAATCTCTTTGGAGTTCTCATTCTAGCTCCTTAGTATTACAAAAGTCCCCAGATCCTGAAAATATAATGTCAATATTATGTGGCAATTTATCATCCTTTTAATCACTCTCTTTGCTACTCAGCCAGTTTTCGATTTAAGGGCTTCACTCAAGTTTTGTTTCCCAAGCTTTTTGGGAACCCTGCTTTGACAGACACATAGAGTAAATTTAGGAAGGGCTAAGTTTACAGGCATTTAAGATTCCTAAAATGTCCAGGCCTTACAAGAAAGCTGGAACCTTTAAGAGCTGAAATTTACAACCTTCTTAATTATAAGAAATAGATACAGAGGGGTAGTGATTTAACACCGCATCCCTCTCACAGTTCAACAGATTAGGTCATTGCTGCTCTGCACAGGAGAGATGGTAAAGGTGAAAGGCTGGCAAAAAACGTTTAAGGGTTTGGTAAAAATAATTTGGTGGTAGTTCCACCTCCCTTTTTGAAGATTCTACTTCCAAAGCAAGGGCAATATAACCGTATTTCCAGAAATCGTCACCTTCCAAGAGTTGCTAAAGAATATTTGTTAAACATTGTCCCCAGAAGCCTTTGTTTGGAATTCCATAGGTCTGGGATGGGAATTGGAAATACGAGTATTATTTATTCATTTTGACTTGTTTTTTGAAACAGATCTGGCACTGTAATTGGCCTGGTTTTGAACTCACTATGTAGCTTACATTGTGCTGAGATTACAGGGTTGGTCACTAATCCCAGATTTGGGAATGTGGTTTAGAAGCACGACACATGGGACTCTTCCAAATTAGGATGTTCCAGTAAAAAGAGCAGAATTTGGGTTACTGTTTTGTGCAGACTTTGAATTGAAAAAGGGTCATTAACCCACGTCATGCACTGAAAAACCCTCCAGCTGATAGTTCTTTTCACGTAGAAACGTTCCTTTGCTTCCTCTTTTCCTTACATGTCATTACTGTCCACCTCAGAGACAAGATCTACCCAAGATTCTACAGGTCAAGGGCCACGTCTCTGTGGGTGTCTCTCCCGTGCCGCGCCCTCATTGGCTGGAAGTTCCTGCGCCCGGAGCCGGCGCGCCTGCAGCTCGCCACGCCAGCCACTTGGGGCGGCCCGCCCAGGGGGCGGGGCGGGGCGGGGCGGGGCGGGCTGGGCGGGGCCTCGGCGCGGCGGCGGCGGCTGGCGGCCTAGGGCGCGGAAGTCCCGGGCCGCGCGGAAGTCTGGGGGCGGGGGACAATGGGTCAGTTACTGGTGCGTCACGAGGGAGTTCCTTAAAGGGGAAGCGAGCGGAGCGGCCGGCCGACGCGGGGTGCGGTGTTCGTCCGGGGGGTCCCCACGCTTTAAAATAATGCCCGCGGCGGCCGCGCGACCATGCAATGGCGAGCGCTCGTCCTGGGGCTGGTGCTCCTCCGGCTCGGCCTCCACGGGGTGCTGTGGCTCGTCTTCGGGCTGGGGCCCAGCATGGGCTTCTACCAGCGCTTTCGGCTCAGCTTCGGCTTCCAGCGCCTGAGGGTCCCGGACGGCCTCGCCTACCCTGGCTCCGGGCCCGCGGGCCAGCAGGGGACGCCCGGGGCGCCGTCGGGGCCGTCGTGGCTGCAGCCGCCGGTGGTCGGGGCTGTGGCCGGCGGGCCCGGGGCTCCGCGGCGGCCCGTCCCGGGCGTGTGCGGCCCGGCGCACTGGGGCTACGCACTGGGCGACCGGGGATGCGGCCCAGACGAGTACGAGAAGCGCTACAGCGGCGCCTTCCCACCGCAGCTGCGGGCCCAGATGCGCGACTTGGCGCGGGGCATGTTCGTCTTCGGCTACGACAACTACATGGCGCACGCCTTCCCGCAGGACGAGCTCAACCCCATCCACTGCTGCGGCCGGGGCCCGGACCGCGGGGACCCGTGAGTAGCTTGCGCGCCGGGCGCCCCGCGAGGTGCCTTGGTCTCTGGGGTCGCCAGCGCCTGTAGGGTCTGGGGGCGCTTGTGGTTCGCGCTGTACCGCCTTCAGAGGTCTCCCTGGGCTTGAGGTAGGTGGGTGGGCTGGTGGCGGTTCGCTTTCTCAGTTAGGACTCTACACTTAAAGAGAGCAGTTCGGATCATTATTTTACACCGAGGACAAAACCGAGGGCTAGAGACGAGAAGGACCAGTGACAGTGCCAAAGACGGGGTTGGAGGGGGGCTTTAGACCCCTCTCCTCCAGATGGACACCTTAGTTAAATGAAATTAACTACGTTTGCTTCTCTCGTGAACGCAGCTTCAGTACGAGCCCTCTGCCCTTTCTAACCATCGTGCCACACCCAGGTCTTTAATATAAAAATGCAGGAGTTGATTCCTAGAAAGGACTTTTGAGCCCTCCGATGAGTTGGAGTCACAGAGATGATAGGTTTTGTCTCTTTTTTCCTCTGGGTTGTGCTGCTTTTGCGAAGGAGATTTAGATAGGAGTAAAGGAGGCTGGCTGGCCCATTTTTGAGAGCTAGATATTGGAAGTATATGCGCTGAACACACATTCAGCATCACTGTATTGTGCCAGGTCCCATGAACACCATTCTGGTGCGGGGCCCTCAAGGAAGCTCAACCAGCGCTCCCTGGCCCGGCCTTGTTTGTGAAAGCAGAGCTCCAGGATTCACTGTTGGAGTCTTGAAAGTCCAAGAGGGCAGCACACCCAGTTTAGCTCCTTCCTCCCAGGAGGGGCGGAGTGTGCTTGTTTGGCCGGATAGGTGACTCGTGTCTGCGTTTCCCTCCCTCGTGTGCAGGTGGAAGGGGTGCATTGCTCTGTGTCTTGGCAGAACACCTTTGAGGCTTACATTTTTGTTTCCCTAGTGGAAAGCAGTGAGGTGCTGACCTTAAATTCTAAGTACGAAGACCCTATATTAACAGATCATGTCTTTTTTTTTTTTTTTGTCTTTTTCATTTTTATCAGTACCGGGGATCGAACTCACGACCGCCTGCTTGCAAGGCAGGTGCTTATGCCGCTGAGCTATAAATCCCCAGCCCCAACAGATCATGTCTTAATTTGCTGTGTGAGGGCATGATTTTTAGTAAAGCAAGGACACTTAGACTAATTTCAAAGGACTAGATCTTTCCATAGTGGTAGGAAATGGATACTTTTCTTGCTTAACTATATTGGCCTTTTTATATAGAAATGTATCTTCCAGCTCAATTTATTTGAGAAAAATAAACTTTAAAAAAACCGCTTTTTTCCCCCAAATTGTAGACATGAGTTAACTTTTGTACCTATAAATGTATTTTCTTTCAATCATAACTTTTGAGAATAAACAATTGATTTTGGAGGGAAAAAAGAGCCTACATTTCCATCAAATAGTTACTTTAATTTTTTTCTTGCCACCTCCTGTCACAGGCTTACACATTATTTACACAGTTGCAATCAAAGTATGTATATATATTTTAACACTGTAATGATACTGTTTTCTCAGCAGTGCTTACAGTATCACAAGAAGGGAGAGAGCACTTTAAGTGCCAGATTCTCTCACAGATTTTTTTTTTATCAGATTTCCTTTCACCTGGCAGACCTAAAGCAAACATTTTAATGAGGAAATTGTGATAATACTTTATATCATGACTGTAATGGTATGGAAGATGAGTTGATGGCGTTTTAATGTTTTTCTGAATGAATTTAAGAACCTTCTGGAGCGTTGGGAGCCCCCTCCTCAGGTGGTTCATCATGTGTGAAATAGGCCTTTATTTCAACATGAAGTCTGTGATGAGTGTTTTGGTTTAGTTTTTCAGTGTCATTCTGTGTAAAAGGAGTTACTTAGAGACACAGTATTTTTGGAAAGACTGTTAGAAGTATAGGGTAGAGGAAAGGCATTTGGCTTTTTGGTTGGTAAAACTTTGTATCTTCAGGGATATTTTTAAAAGAGCTCCAGGGTTATGTGACCTTGGGTAGACCAGAGGAAAAGGTTAATTTTTCATTACTTACTTTACTTTAACTGCCCTAAGGTATTTTCCAGGAAGATCTAGAATCAAAGCCTTGTCATTGTGACTGAAACATAGGGCACATTTACATTGCCCCCAAATAAATAACCAGAATTAAAAATTGTTCAGATTTCTTTATTTTCATTGGGGTACTGGAGATTGATCCCAGGGAGCACTCAGCCTCATTCCAACCCCAACCTCCACTGTAGTAATTGAATTCATGGCTTCCCACTGAGCTACATCAGTGTCTCACGAAGTCTGCAAGTTATCCAGGCTGGGCTCCAACTTGAGATCCTGTTGCCTCCTCTTTTTGGAGTGTTGGGGTTACAGGTGTGTGCCACGTATTTGTGTTTTGAGACACAAATACGAGAGCCTTGTTAAGTTGTCACAGCTAGTTCTTGCACCTTCTAAATAGCTGGGTTTCCACGCTTGTGCCACCACACCTGACTTTCAGGTTTTAATGATCAAGTGTATTCTCGTGACTATTTTCAAATTGTCTTCTAATGATTTTGTTTTGTGTTGTGTTGTTTTGTTTTGTGAGACAAGGTATCAGTTTGTAACCCAGGATGGCCCTGAACTCATGTCAGTCCTGCCTCAGCCTCCTGAGTGGGGATGACAGGCCTGTGCCACCACGCTGGGCTGTAATGATACTTTTAAAGAATAGTGAAATCACCAGAATCACCAGTAGAATGTTATGTAAAAGGTATAGAAACAAAATATGGGTTCTCAGCGTGCATATCTTTCCTTTTTAATTACATTTACTTGAGATTTGTCTTGCCTGTCTTGATGGTGGGAGATGTCTTGTGCAGTTAATATGAAGTAAACAAAACCTCAACACTTTAAAAATAACTTATCTTTCTGTGTAGCTACAGATTGTTATGCAAAACCAGTTCTCACATCCCCAGTTTGGGTTGGAGAGAATCCAAATTCAGAAATTTCTTTGAGCAAATTGGATAGTATGTGGCTATACTCCTTTGAATAACTATAAATTCAGGCTTTAACCCATAACTTTTCTCACTTCTTCAACTATATTGCTTTTAAAACAAAAAGGTGGCTATCAGAAGAACAAACCGCAGTTACTGAACTGACCTCCCAACTGACTAATTTCTATGCACCCCTAGTTTCAGATGGCCTCTTTCTGAATTCCGTGTCTCAAAAGTTTGTTCTCTTTTAGAGTCAGGCTCAAGTATCTCCCCCACCCCCATCACCACTAAACTGTTCCAGGCTGATTCTTGACTTCTAAACACTTCTGTTTTGTTTGATTGTTAGCTGCCTGAAAAGCTGACAAATGGAATCTGGGATGATAATTTCATACTGTGAAACCAGGAGGATTTTATACTGTCAGTCACTCTGCCCGCTTTTTGTTACCCCTTTTTCATTTTTCCTTTGCTTAAAGAATATAGCAGTTATTTGTTAGAAAGGAGTTAGAAGTGTTCTAGTGAACATTAGGAGCTTTAAAAGTGTTTTTATTTGACTGGAGTAGAAAGAAGGAACCATGGTGGGTTTTGTGTGGTTTTTTTGAAACAAGGGTTTTCATACATAGTTTACGCTGGCCTTGAACTCATTATTTTAGTCTAGGATGACTCAGTACACAGTGATCCTCCTGCCTCCTCGCAAGTTGTCCCAAATACAGTCATGTGCCACCATTTTTGGCTTCTAGATGGTTACTGGGAATGTTTTTACTTTTGTTGTGGCAGGTCTAATGGATGTTAGTTACTTCTTGGGCATTATACTGAGAAGTTACATTGGTTTGTTTTATTTTGTTGCAGTGCTGGGATTGGAACCCAGACTTCATGCATGCTGTGAAAGCACTTCATGACTGAGACATGTATCTGGAAGCATTTTCAAACTAGATTCATTTTAGTTGTAGATTAAAAGAAAAAAAAAAACACAGTAAAACATGGGAAGGAGTATAGTGCTCAAAATTATTAATGTCTTCCATAGGCTTGTTCAGGTGAGGAGGATAACACCTGCCCCAGAGTATAATGCTGAAAATGGTAGTGGCATGTAGCTTGTTTGCTCTTTGTACAGTGTGGATTGTATTTAGGTGATACAGGGACCATTTTCTCTGTTGAGATGGTTATTGGACCCTACTGTGTTTCTGGGCAGTAAAAAAAAGTCATTAAATATTAAACCCAGCAGCATGTTCTTTAGTGGAGGACTTCCTTGTCTGCTTTCACCCGTCCTTCAACGCTTTTCTGGTGTCCCCTCTGGCTGGCATTGCCATTGAGAGGCATATTTGAATCCATACTTCTGGCCTTGGAAGGACCTTTTGCTGTGACGTGAATTTATTTAGAAAGAGTAAACAGATGACTCCCAGCACTGAGAGAAGCTGAGGTAGGAGATTACACATTTCAGTCTAGCATAGGCAATTGGGAATTTACTGAGGCCCTGTCACAAAACAAGAAGGGCTGGAGATTAGTTCAGTATGAAAAATTTAAGTTCAATCTCTAGAACTGCAAAAAAAAAAAAAAAGCAAAGTCAAATAAAAGAAGTGGGTACAATTTTCCAGCCATACTCTTTGCTGACTCTATAGCTTGTGCTGGAGAAGAAGACTGATTTCTAGGTGGTCATCTTTGGGAGAGACCCTTTCCACAGTGCCAGTTATTAGGGATTCCTGCAGTGAGTCCTGTCTCCTGCCAAGTATTATGCTGCAGGGCAGGAAGAAAGAATTAAGAGACAGAACAGAGGTGAAGGCAGGGATCTGGGATGACCAGTTGTTCTCAGGGAATAAAAGTCCATTAGGCACCCCAGAATCTTGTTATTTATTCATTATATCTCAGTCAAGGTCAATGAGTGAAGGGCGGTGGGTGTTTCCAGGAATATTAATGGCCACTGTGGTGGGCTAGTAAGAACAACAAAGCATTCTTTGGCCAGCACTAGGAGGATGGGAGTGTCTTATAGTTGCCAGCAGGTTTTATCTGTGAGTGCCACAGGAGTCCTTAGCGTAGGACTTCCAGCTGTGACCAGAAGGGAGCACTGAGTTTGCTTAAGGGCAAAACAAGGACAAGCTTTGGATATCTCCTAGACCCAATTTATAATTGGTGGTCCCTGGCAGCTCCTTCTATAATGCTTGTGTTAAAAATCTATCTAAAATTTTGCTACAGATTCTTTTCTCTAGATTGAAGTAATAGAGCATGGATCAAGGCAACTGGAAAGTTGAAGTAAGATCCCATGCCGAAGCTGTTCTTTCTTCCCTGTGAGGCTGGTGTCCCTCCAGCAGAGGCCAGTAGGCGGCCTTTCAGACTCTAGCAAGCCATAGAGAAGAGAGAAACTGTCAAAAGCTTCTAGTAGGGAAATGCATAAGAAAGCAAGAGATGATCCAAGATGGAGATAAGGGTACTCCGGGGATAGGATGGAAGTTGTCAGATATGAATAAATATGGAATCTGGAAATGAAACTGGGCCTTTGCCACTTTGGCCTCTTGACAACTGAAAAACTTTAAGTATTTGTCTTACTTCTTCCATTATTGTCATCCCCGCCCAAGTTTCTGCAATTATTATTTGGGTTTGTGGGAATGGGGCAAAGGAATAAATGAAGTTCTTGGTTTGAATTTTTAAAGTAGCTATGGTTTATTATTTCCACTACTCTCCTATGCTACCTTCCTAGGTATATTAATTTTTGTTGTTTTCATAGTTTGTGTTATAAAGGAATACCAGCATGACCCGGCAGCTTTACCCTCTACATCTCTGTTGGTATGGGAATGGGATCCAGGACCTTATGCATATTATTGAGCCTCTATCAGTGAGCTACATACTCAGCCCCTGTAGTCAGTCTGTCTGTCTGTCTGTCTGTCTTTCTTTCTTTCTTTCTTTCTTTCTTTCTTTCTTTCTTTCTTTCTTTCTGTGATATATAATAAATACGTTCATTGTACTAAATGTTGCATCTTGATCCTTTCTACTGCTCTTTCATCCCTCCCTCCTGTCTCCCCTCTGTCAGATTCCCCTTCCTATCTTGACAGCGCCTATCTCCTTGTTTGTAATTGTTTTTTTAAGATTGTTTCAGAATGGGGAATTGATGTTGATTACCAAGGTGAAAAAAGAGAGCAGAGCCTTGATTCTTGCTTTGGTTTATGTTCTAACATATCCCTCAAGATTAATCAAAACAATGGGGAGTCTGGCTGAGATATTAGTGAAGAAGTGGTATAAAGAACCTTATTTAATTCCTTAATCAAAGGATATGTCGGTACTATAGCAGCAGATCTTTACTTTTTTATATGTAATCTGCTGGTGTATGTAGTTTTTAGGTTAAAATATTATAAGTAGGTCCTGTGACCAGATCTCTCCTCTAGCTCCTGGCGATTGTAAAAGTTCGAATCTGAAGCTGGGCAGGATAGAAGAAGACATTTACAGTGATAAAATTACCTCACAAGGATAAATGATCCTTATTTGCAGTCTTTTAGCTTCTGTTGAGTTCTTTCTGCTCTTACAGTTTATGTGTCTGTAGTGCTGTGATGCCACTGTACTTGTAAACAGTGGAGAAACTGCTTTTGCCACACTGATGTATACTCCGTTTCTCAATAAGAATTGCTAGTAATTTTAGTTTTTTAATGTGTATTTTGTTTTGTTTCTCTTTAAAGTATCCATCTTTAATTTTAATTTTATTTCTTTTTCAGTTCAAATCTGAACATCAATGATGTACTGGGGAACTATTCATTGACTCTTGTTGATGCACTGGATACACTGGCAGTAAGTGTTGCTCTTTTTAAAAAACAAAGATGTTTTGGAGTTGCTATCCCTGTTTCCCCCTAGAAGTGGTAATTTTAGAGAACCTGATCCTTTTTTAATCTTATTTTTTTGAGATAGGGTCTGGCTGTGTAGGTCTTGAACTTGCTGGGTATCCCACGTGGCCTCAAACTCTTGATTCTCCTGCTTCGGTCTTCCCAGTGCTAGGATTATAGTGTGGACTACCGCATCTGAAAAACGTGATATTTAAAAGCTTCAATGGGTGTTATTTATTTTTAGTGAACTTTGTGGCAACAATGAGAAAAAGCTTGAAGGTTTAAAAAGTGAAATATTCCCTTCAAACAATAGTGGGAAAAAAGTGTATGCTTGTTTTTCAGGAACCAATTCCCCCACCTCAGTTTTCCACTGCCTTACTGCTAAAGGAATCCATAGAGAATTGCCTTAATATTTACAGTTATTGCAGTTACTATTTCAGGAAGAGAAAACAAAGTCTCAGGGTTCATAGATATCTTGAAGTTAGTTCCACCTCGCCGCTTGCTGACCCCCCCCGTGCCAGCCTGCGTGTGAAGGCCCTCTGTGAGCACTGCTGCTCCTCGCTTCTTGTCCCAGTGCTGGGATTATAGGGATGTGTCACCATGGCTGGCTACATCTTCATTTCATAAGTAGCACAGGAAGGACCAAGTCCTTTGTCTAATGGAAATCTGGGCTGTTGGATTTTGTGCTAGGCTGTGGTTGGAAAGCAATTTAGCTCCTCGACGCTTCCTTGCAAAGTGATTGCTCCTGCATTTTAGTCATCCACACTGACTCATCCAGATGTGCCCCAACAAGTAAGTGCAGCCTAACTATAGCAAATTTCTTTAAAATATTAGAGACTGACTCAGCCTGCAAGTGTTGCTTGAAGCATCCTAAGAGTCATATGTAAGTTGAGAAAACTTGTTTTTTTCCTCTCTGACTCTGTTTTTGGTACTAGGTATTGAACTCACGACCTCATGCTTGCCAGGCAGGTATTTGTGCCACTGAGTTAAATCCCTGGCCCTACTGTTTTAACTCTTTTGATCACCATTTGTATCTTTTTATCTTCATACTTGATACTACAGAGATCTCATCTTTATTATTTGTTATACTGTACTTTCTCCACACTTGATAGTAAATGGCACATAGTAAGATTGCAAGCTTTTATTCAAAAAATGAATTTCTACTAGTTCAGTACCTCCCAACACAAATTACAAGAAAAGAAGAGTTCTGTTCCAAAAGGAACTGGACAGAATCTTTGTCCAGCTACTGGAGAGCCATGTTAAACATCAGCATTGAGAAGTCATGCAGTGTGGAAACCTATGTAATGTTTCTGTCTAATCCAGCTTTTCTCAGTCATTTAATACCCTGCTTTCTTGGGGGCTCTTAACTAAAGTACTAAATTATAATATGAATTTAAGCATTGTTGGCTGTCTTCACCTCCACTTGATTTGAGATCATATCAGCACTGCAGTAGCACTAGATAATGTTACCGGTGCACATCTGAAAGGAAACAGACCCATTTTTGTGGTTTTCATTGTAGAATACCTGGCCTTTTCTGCCTTAGCACTTCACACTTACTTTTTAAGTGTTATGTTGAGGTTTGTCTTTTCTCTTGCTAGCATTTTAAGTAGGCTTTAGTAGATGTGTTATGGAAACTCTTGGGGAAAGCAGTCCCTGACCATTTCCTGTAACTTATAACATTGTTGCATAATCTTTTTTTAAAAAAAAAGAACTGAAAATCAGAAAAGAAACAACTATGCTTGTCACACAAATAAGGATCAGCAGAAAGAAAGATGTCAAAGAACAGAAAACACTGTTGAGTGTTTTTTTCCATTTAGGTTAATCAGTGAAATTTTATGGCTAAATTGCAATTTGTATAGGGAAGACATCCTATCTACACCCCAAATAGAAATCATAATTCCAGAACACTTTTAAAAAGACATACAGCTGGTTATTTGTATAATTTAAATGTCACTTGTTTTATGTTGTGCTGCAAAAGGATTTTGAATATCTGGATGGCAAGCACCAAGTAGTTTGTTTGGATTTGTTTGGGTTTTTTTTGTACCAGGAATTAAGCTCAGGACCTGGTGCTTGCCAGACAGACACTATGCCCCTGAGCTATATCCCCAGCCCCAAGCATCAAGTTTAGTAAGATATCTAGCTTGATCTGGAAGCCAGGCACCCAGACTGGATTTATTTGAAAAACAAGGAAAAAGCCATATTATTGTTTCTTTAACTTTCTGATTTATTTTTACTCATCCTAGAAGTTGTAGGAACTACAGTGTCTTTGCACATAAGTAACATCAGACTGAAGCCTGAGAGAGAGAGAGAGGAATGGGAAGATTAGGAGCGCCCTTGATTCTAGAGCAAGGTATTTTCACAGTTTTGCCATTTGGAGATGGGATTCTTGAGTTGTAGCAGGAAGGTAGTAGGCCTGTCATTGTCTGGAACACAGTTAAGTCCCCAACTTACTAACAAGTTCTGTTTTGGGAGAACGTTATTATCTTGGTTTTTTTAAATAAATCTGACAAGGAGAGTTTCATGTACCTTTGATACAAATATATACTATAAAGCGTAAAAACACCAAACCTCCCTGCTCCACTGCTTTTCCTCTTGCTGCTGGACATCTTGGTCTCTGACTGATTGCTGTACTACTACAGAGTAAGCAGACAGCAGCACAGCTGTGACAATGTCAGCCACTTCCATTTGTTTACAGCTACGTGATCTGAGGTCCCTTATGTCTGTGTACAACTTGAGTGTTCATAAATTGAGCCCTTACTGTATATCGTGAAAAACACCTGCTGTCCTGCCTTTGTTGCTTCTACTCTTACAGGGACAAAACCACATATAATGCAGACATTTAGGTGATGTGGCCAGGCTGCTGTAACCATGTAGCCTGTTTGATCTTAAGCTACTATAATGATTTCTCTTCTTCATTTTAAAGATAATGGGAAATTCATCTGAGTTCCAGAAAGCAGTCAAATTAGTGATCAACACAGTTTCATTTGACAAAGATTCTACTGTTCAAGTCTTTGAGGCCACAATAAGGTAAAATAGTACATAAAATAGGTTGAAAGCTTTGTGTGTGTACGAGTGTGTGTGTGTGTGTGTGTGTGTGTGTGTGTGTGTGTGTGCATGTGTGTGTATAGAGAGAAATTCCTTGGGGTTTTCGGCTCCAAATCCAGGTAGACAGTCCATATAGGTATTATAGGAGCAATATATATTTTTCATGCTTATTTTAATATTTATCAAAACTATAACTGTTGACCATATGATAATCACATTTTGGACTGAAAAAAAGAAACACTCATGTTTAATGGGTATCCTTCTAAGCAGTGTCTTGATTTCCCTTTATGACTGGTCTCATTTCCTGCCTTCATTGTGTCCTGGGAAAACTTACACGTATTTCTGAAGGAAATGATTTTCTTTTCTCTCTGCCCACAGAAAACCACTGTTTGCCATTTTGTTGTATTTTTTTCTTTAGTGTTGATCACTAATCTCTCTCCTTTTTAAAAACGTATTGGAATCATGCTTTATACCCAGCTTTGTTTACTTGAATATATTATTTTCCTATTTAATGTTTTTTGAGAATTGTATTTTTTTCATGACATTCCAGTTTAATTTTTAAAGTTATTACAGCATTTGTTCTGAAAAATGTCATCATCTACTCCAGATAATTGGAAAGGTGGATCAGTGGGTCTGCAGTGATGTAGATCTAAGCTGTTATGTTATAGTTGAGTACGTCATTTACTCTTTATTTTCCTTTCTTCCTCTTTATCCTCTTACCAGGTATTGTAGTTCATCAATTGCATGGCAAGCTACTTAGTATTTGTTTTCTAACCTTTTTCTCTTTTGTATGGCTAAATCTTCCCCAAATGAGCTAATTAAGGGTGATTTAATAATATAGCAGGTAATACATCTTAATACATATTTTGAGAATAAGTAGCACACATTCTCTATTAGTAGAGTCTTTTTTCTTAACCCCTAAGATAAAGATAACTAACTTTGTTAATCTTTTAAATGGTATTTTTCTCAATAGCCTGAAATGAATGATTCCCCTTCTCTCTTTGAGTAATTCAGGGAACTAAAAATTAGGCACTCATTAGAGCTAGAAATAACTTTTAAGAGGCTGTTCAGTCAGGTCCATACTTCATGGGGCTCAGAGTCAATAAGATGTAGTTATTCCTTCTGTCATTCTGAATTAGATTTTGTGTCCTTTTGAGCAACATGATTTGATTTGATTTGGTGTTATTTTTTGTTCTGCTATTAGGGTTCTGGGAAGCCTCCTTTCTGCCCACAGAATAATAACTGACTCTAAACAGCCCTTTGGTGACATGACAATTAAGGACTATGATAATGAATTGTTGCACATGGCTCATGACCTGGCTGTGAGGCTCCTTCCTGCTTTTGAGAATACGAAGACAGGGATCCCCTATCCTCGGGTAGGTAAACTAACTTTTCCTTTGTACTTGATAATACACCATCTTCTGGATTTAAAACTGTTTGATAAAAGAAATGAGGCTGAGATAGAGGAAGAAAGTGGGATTCTTGAGATAGTTTTACCCTAAACATAATGTAAATGTTTTCCAATTCTTCAGTACTTAATGAGCACCCTTTGGGTGCTGGGCATGTAGTGACATAGCAAAGATTTTCCAAAAAATCTTCCCTCAAAAATTGTATTCCCCTTAAAACTTATTGTTCCTATGTTCAGTATTCATAAATGTTTTATACATGATTTCTATTGTGTGCTACCAGAAAGTGTGGAGAATTTGTTTTCATTTCTTATTTTGGTAGATTTCCCCAAAGATCCTCACATGTATATTAGAGAGGAGCTCAGTGAATGTTCCTTTGAGTGCTCAGTGAGTTCTTTTGAATCCTTTCAAATAAAGCCTGCATAGCCTGGCGTAGCAGCAGCACATGCCTGTAACCCCAGCACTCTGGAGGCTGCACAGGAAAATTGCTGCAAGTTCAAGAGCAACCTTGGCTACATATTGAGTTCAAGGTCAGCCTGAGCTGCATAATGAGACACTTTCTCAAAAAAAAAAAAAAAAAAAGAGAAAAAAAAGACCTGCATAGCCCAGCAAGCTAGGTTTTTGTGATATCTGATTTGTCAAGACCAAACTCCTTTGGGAACTAAGCAAGCCCTGGAAGTAACCGGGGAGTGAGTTACCAGATGACAGGGCTGTCATAGTCTAGCTGAGCCTTCCTTCTTAGTTTAAGGTTTATGTTTGTTGAGCAGTAATACGTTTATAGTGGTTTACTTAGAATTTAGAACTGATTTCATAGTTTGCTCTTTTACTCCAAAATCGGATCATGTGTAGCCATGAAAAAAATCCTATTGGAAAGAGTTGGTTTAATGAGCCTGGCATGATGATGCATGGCTGTCATCTCAGCTGTTGTTGGGAGGCTAAAGCAGGAGCCTTTCAAGTTTGAGGCCAGCCTGGGCAATTTAGATTCTGTCTCAAAATAAGAGGACTGGGAGTATTTGTACCACAGTGACAGAGCACATACTTAGCATATGTAAAGGCCTTGGGTTCAATACTCAGTAATGGAAAAAAAAAAAAAAAAAACAGCAGAGAGATAGATGGTTTGGTTCAATTAATTGTGTAATTTTATTATTGTCATTCCTTGAATATGTGCTCATCTCTTTTTTTTTTTTGCTCTTACTAAAACAAGGCTCAGGTGTTTTTATTCTCATTTGTGCTTTTCTTTCTTTCTTTCTTTTTTTTTTTTTTTTTTTTTTTTTTGGTACTGGGGATTGAACTCATAACTTTGCACTTGCCAGGCAGGTGCTGACGCCCCTGAGCTAAATCCCATTTGTGCTTTTTGAATTTAACTGCCTTGTTCATTTTGGGTCTAACGTAACTAACTGTTCACGGTAAGCTTGGTACATTAGCTGAGTGTCGTATCTGTGACTTGGCCTTCAGCTGTGTACGAGTTCTTGAGTTTTGCCACAAAACCTGTGACTGACTCTTCCTGTCCCCAGGTGAATCTAAAAACAGGCGTTCCTCCTGACAGCCGTAACGAGACCTGTACCGCAGGAGCTGGTTCCCTCTTGGTGGAATTTGGGATTCTGAGCCGACTGCTGGGGGATTCCACCTTTGAGTGGGTGGCCAGACGAGCAGTGAAAGCCCTCTGGAACCTGCGGAGCAATGACACGGGACTGTTAGGTGTGGTGCACTGTTTCCTGCCATTCGGGCTGTACATGTGGTCCCCTTTCCCTTCATCTCTGAGGGGGTCCTTCCTGTTTCTTCCTTGTACCACTGAACCTGAAAATTGTCAGCTCAGAAAAAGTGGTCCTCAGTGTCTGCTGTAGTCAATTTCTTTTTGTGACCTTTTGCTTAGAGTTAGGCTATAGGGTTTGATAGAAAAAAATATACTTTTGCTGTGAGAGTGTTCCTTTCTGATTTGGAGCCCATAGTATATTCTACTTGAAAATTGCTGTTAATGGAAATGCTATTAAAAGGACAGCCTCTGAGGCAGGTTTTATTCAATATAAAGTTTAACTATGGGAAGTTAAAGATACCAGTGGAATGGTTTCTCCTTTTAAAAAGAGTTGGGTGCGTAGGAGTAGATTGAAAGTTTTGGTTTAAATTTATATTAGATTTTTCTTTTGAGAATGTTTGATTAAGATATTGAAAAATTATTTTGGAATATTTCAGACATTAATTGTAGAAAGAAGGAATAATAACCCCTATGTACTCATCTCATTCATCTTCAATAATCATCTAGTGTTTTGTCAACTCACAGTGTTTTAAAATGGGTTCTTAACTCATAATTGTCTTTTATTGGGACATATTTTCTTTTTGGCTGTAAGAAGTAATTTGATTTATTTGGCTTTTCTAGAAGCATAGGGAATTATAGAAGTTTTACACTTTAAAAGTGTGATTTTTTAGTTTTTTAGTTCTACAATTGATATACAGATTTGTTGATTTAACGTCAGTGGAAAAATAAGCATTCAAATGATCAATTCATCACCAAATTATTGGCCAGTATCACCATAAATTGTCAGTTTTTAGCTTTCTGTAGGTGTTTTTGTGTGTGTGTGTGTAGCACTGAGGGTTAAGGTCGGGGCCTTGTGTGTGCCAGGCAAGTGTTCTACCACTGAGGTACCTCCCCAGTTCTTAAATTTTGTGAGTGAGAATCTTGCAAGTTGTCCAGTCTGGCCTTGAACTTGTGACCTTTCTCCTTTAGCTCCTCCCTTCCTGTCCCAACAGTAGTTGGGATTTCAGGTATATATTACCATCTAAGCTCCATATACTCTTTTACCCTGGTATGTGCAGCTTTTATCTATTTTCATTTATTAATATAAACATTTTTATTCTGCCTTAATTTGGCAGATCATTCCATGGTTTCTAAGTTACTATTTTTATAATCTTTTTAAAAGCTACATAGTCATCTATTAACTCTTTTTCTGGTGTTAGACACTTAGATTATTTCTCTCTCTTTCTTTTTTTCTTTTCTATTTTACAGATAATTTTCTGGTGAACAACATAAGAGTTTTTCTTTTTAAAAACATTTTTTTCAGGAAAGATTACCAGGAATGACAGTACTGGGTTAAAGGCTGTGAGTACTCATTTGGGTTTTGAAATACATTGTCATTGTGGAAAGGCAAAATGACAAATCTATATATATTATATATATATATAAAATATATAATATATATATATATTTTTTTGCTTTAAATATTTATTTCCATTTCGTGTTGGTAGCTAAACACTGTATATATTCAAAAAGATCTCTAGGCTGTCCAAGTTATTGATAGGACTGAAAAATCTTAGGGTTGATCTTTCACTCCTTTTCTTACTTGTTAAGGATAAGGATGCTGAGAAGTGGGGTTGAAGTAGGCCCAAGATGATTGGCATCTGAAGTACCTTTGTTTGTTCCTGCAGGCAATGTTGTGAATATCCAGACCGGCCATTGGGTTGGAAAACAGAGTGGCTTGGGTGCTGGGCTGGACTCCTTCTATGAATACCTTTTAAAATCTTACATTCTCTTTGGAGAAGAAGAAGACTTAGAAATGTTTAATGCTGCATATCAGAGCATTCAGAACTACTTAAGAAGAGGGTATGTTTGTTTAACATCAGTTCGTGGCCTTATAAAGCAAAGAGTTTGCATTTTGAATGTTCTTTTTTTGTTTTGTTTTTTGAGACAGGGTCTTGCTTTGTAGTACAGATTGACCTTGAACTTAGAATTATCCTCTTGCCTCAGCCTCCTGAGTACTGAGACTATAGGCTTATGCTTCCATGCCTGGCTAATGCTCCTATTTTTCTTAATGTAAACTCCGAAGGTCTGTTTGTCTCTTCTGCCCTCAACATATTGTCAGTCATTTGAGGATGAAGATCAGTGTTAACTATCACTTAGCATAGGGTTCCAGAACTGACTGGCTTAAATAAAAATATGACCTCGTAACAGTTTCTAAAAGACAGAAACATAGGAGATACAGTTGCTAGGTTCAGACCTAAGATGGCACACAAGGTTGCTGTGATTGAGGCTGTAGCCACGGTAAAGCTTGAGTGTGACTGGAGGATCCCCTTCTCGGCTCACTCATGTCATGGCTGGTGGTTGGAGATGTCAGATCTTTGCCATAGGAATTTCTTCATAGTTAGCTCATGGCAGCTGGCTTATTCCAAAGTACCAAAATATATTACAGAGACTTCAGTTTAGAGCTTTTCTTCTGTAGTAGATGGCATCTTCTGTTAGTGTCTAGTTCAGACAGGTAGCAGGAGTCCATTCTCCAAAGGTTTAAGGAAAGTGGACAAAAGTTAATGTTGATTCTATTTAAACGAAACAGCCAGGGGCTCCTGGAGTGATAAAGGGTAGAGCTCTGTCAGTGATCTTTCTTTTCACCTTTGTAGGCGGGAAGCCTGTAATGAAGGAGTAGGAGACCCCCCGCTGTATGTCAATGTGAACATGTTCAGTGGGCAACTCATGAATACTTGGATTGACTCTCTACAGGCATTCTTCCCTGGACTGCAGGTATTTTGCCAGCAGATTTGCAAAGAATAAATAGTCATTAGGCTGGGAATTTTATTTTCCTCTTTTTTTCTGTGACACATGAGCCTTTTTTTTGTTCCTTTGGATTTTGGAGGTTAATAGCAGAACACTGATATTATTCTGTTTTGAAATGAGTTCCTAGATTGTTGAATAGACCCATACTATATTATTGAAAAAAGCATATTTAAAAGTTAACTACAATTACTTATTGGTTGCTGGATAGTCCATCTTTATTATGCTTGTTTGGTATATTTAACCTTTTTTGTACAGTTCAGGTCAGTATGTCATTGATGGCTGGATACGAAAGGCTTTTGTTTGTGTGAGTTGTGACTTGCTTTTGTCTCTAGCTGTTTTGCATAAAAACCAGGGGGTAAAGAAAAGATTAACATTTGTGTCACTTTTTGCCACTCTGGGGAAGAAAGTGTCTCAGCCTGGTGACCTGTGTCTTTCCCATAGGTTTTGATAGGAGATGTGGAAGATGCTATTTGCCTCCATGCCTTTTACTATGCCATATGGAAACGATACGGGGCCCTTCCTGAGAGGTTTAACTGGCAGCTGCAGGCCCCTGATGTTCTCTTCTACCCACTGAGGCCAGAATTAGTGGAATCCACATATCTCCTCTACCAGGTACTGGAGCTCTTTAAACGAATTTGTCATTTTCACAGCAGTTTAATAGAGTTATAACACATTTCTGTAATCTTTGGTGTTCAGTATCATTCATGGGTTCACAGGACAGATAGTGTCTATAGCCAGATATTTTTAACTTCACATTTTGTGAAGAATTTTGTCTTTGCTGTAGGACTTACTCATACATCTTTAAATATTCAAGACAAAGATTGTACCTTCAGTATATTACATATCTATTTGACCAGAAAACACTTTTTAGGGGGATGCAGTTCTGTGCCAGTGTGCAGGGGAACTGTGATCTAGATAATAATTATTCAGACTAATAGACAGTTTGGTCTCTTATTTATAGAGGAAGTTATCTAGGATTCACATGAATGCCTTATTTTGTTTAATGTTTTAAAAAATCATACAATATTTATCTTTCATGAAATTACTTTTGGGCTTGCAGAGGGAACTGTGAAATGTTTTCTTGCAGACAGTGTAAGCCAAATGCATATTTTTTGTACATATCATAAACAAATACACTGAGAGTGCTTGCCCATTCACAAATATAGCAACATAAGCTGTTCATTTAATAAGAAGCTAGCCTTTAATGGAGTTCAACAGGCCTGTGGCAGGTGTGTGCATTGGGCAAGATTTGGCAACTGAAACCTGACTTTTTTACCAAGGCCTTGTAGTAGGATTAGTTTTCTGCTTAGATTTATTTAGATTCAGTGATGAATTTTTTTAATATAGAACTTTTTCTGTTTGTTTTTAGATGAAAAAAAGGTAGAATTTTATGAAACTGGTGTCATGGCTTGCATCTAGATGTCCCCCCAAAGCCTCAGGCCATCATAGGTGGGGTTTTCTTCAGAGGTGGCTGAATCTAGAGTATGTGATCGCTTTGTGATGCAATGCTAGGATTAAGGGTACTAAGGTTAAGGGTGTGTGATTACTAAATCAAGCTACTGATTGGTTTGGTACCTAATAATGCCAGTAGCCTAGATACAATATAAGGGACAGGAAGAGGCTTGTCCATCATGGACTGATCAGGCTCACAACCTCCCAAAGAAGCTTAAGTAAAAGAGACAAATGGTATGATTTTAGGGCTCCAGGATTCAAGATTCTCTGGGAGCTGAGACCAAAACTTCCCAGGGTGGCCCATATTTGTTTGGTTTTCAAACAAAGGAAGGGATTTAAAAGTACATAGCATGGGAACTGAGCAAGATCTTGGAAGTCAGTTCAAAGACTTCTTTTAACTTTTTTTTTTTTTTTTGGTACCTGGCATTGAACTCACGACAGGCACTATAACACTGAGCTGTATGCCCAGCCCTTTATTCATATGTATATATTTTTTTCTTTCTCTCCCCCCACCCCTATCTTGTCCTTTGAGGCATCACAGCATCACAGGCCACTCCAGGCCTCAGCTGGGACCAGTGATTCAGAAAGGTTCACTTACTATGAATCTGCTGTGCATCTCTAGATAAGGGGTTTAGGCCTGGGACAGACTCACAAGTAAATGTGGGAAGCCACCTGGTTAATTTTAAATCCTGTTCAGAGCTGCTTCGTAGTGGTCTCCACCACTGGTCTTGTCCCTTGCTTGCTTGCTCTTGCTGTCTTCTGCTTGCCATGACCCGATTCTCCTCTTTGATGCCCCTCTGCTAGGCCACCCTGCCTTGGAGCCAGCCTGTTGTGGACAGAAGTCTCTATAAAATATGAGCTAAACAAACCTTTTCCCCCTTAACTTTGGGTGTCTGATATTGTGTCTCAGCAATGAGAGAAGTAACTAAGACAAGTGATAATGGTCCTCGGGCCTAAAGAGAAACTTCATCAGTTTTAGATAACCTCTGAGAAAGGATGAGGTGATATTTTTGTGGGGCTTTTTTTGTTTGTTTATCTCGTTTTTTGTTTGTTTGAGGCAGGCTGACCTTCAACTCACGACAGTCTTCTGCCTCAGCCTTCTGAGTACGGGAATTACAGGGATGTTCCACAGTGCCTGGCCAAGGTTATCTGGGGTATGGTCTTCCTGAGCCCAGGGTCGAGTAAGGCTGTGCACTGTCTGACAGTAGCATACCTACTGCTATTTCAGTGTTCTTCTGAAGCTTAGTCTTGCTACCCTTGCACTTAGACCTTTATTTTCGTCTCTGTCTCTTCCATGTTTTCAGGTGCTTCTTCTGGCAGGCTAATATCTTAGGATCCAGAGAATTCTTCTGCTTTACAGATTTGCCCTCTGAGGCTACCCCCAGATTCTTGTAGCATAGAGACAGCCAGCATGGTGGTTATTTGCTTTTTCTGCTTCAAGTTGGCACTAAGCATGTATTAAAGATGATCCTTCTCTTCTAAAATGTTTACAGCGTAGAAGTTTTATCTACCCAGAGATTTTTTTTTTTTTTTGTACTGGGAATTGAACTCAGGACCTTGCATTTGCCAGGTAGGCACTGTGCTACTGAGCCATATCTCCCCCATCTTTTTTTTTTTTTCCCAGAGAATTATTTTTTTTCTCTCTAAATAAAACTACTAAGAATATGTGATAGAAGAGTCAGCAACCCAAGGATTCACTAGAGAAGAAAGTGTGGAGACTTTCTGTAGATACTTTTGAGTCCTACTCCCTTTAGCTTTTTTCCCAGTGCTATATTGGAATGAGGTGGGTCCAGTTTCCTTGTGCCTATGTCTTTAGATTCTAGAGAGTTCCATGGAGAGTTAGAAACTAGTTTTGTCAGCTAAGTGTGATGGCATATGCCTGTGACCATAGCATGGAGTGAAACTGAGGCAGGGAGATTATAAGTTGGAGTCTAGTCTGAACAACATAGTGTGCTGGGGAATGTAAATCACAGTAGAGCGCCCCTAGGGTTTGATTCCTAGTAGCGTGTGTGTACACATACATACATACATACATACAGATTTAAACTGGGCATATAGCTTTGTAAGAAGATCCTAGAACCACAAAATAAGAACAACAGAAACGAGATTTGGTCTCTCAGGTAGTGGTGCTGTCATGCTGGTGTTGTTTTATTTCTGACCATGGTGTGGATTAGAGCCAAAGTAATTGTTGTTCTGCCTGGGAACAGATTTCCCAACTGTGCTTTAAGTTAAATAAATTGCGGTAATGCTTTGATGCAAGTTGGCGGAGTACCTTGTCCTTGATAATCCTTCCCGATAAAGTGAATAGTGCCCTGTTTTTCCTTTTGGCTGATCATCTATCTCACTGGGAAATCCTGCGGTCCTGCCATGATCGTTGACGTCCTGTCTTTTAGACCCTTGCTGGATCACGGTGTTCTGTGTTCTCTCTAGGCAACCAAGAATCCCTTCTACCTCCACGTAGGAATGGATATTCTGCAGAGTCTGGAGAAGTACACAAAAGTCAAGTCAGTTATCTTAGGTTCCTTTTTACTGTTGTCTACCTGTGATTTTTTAGTTGCTCTGGAAAAATACTGTTCTAGCTTGCATTTTAATTTGTAGCAAAGGTAGAGATCATTACCTTTGTAACGAAACGGTTAATCTTCGTATAGTAAAACTAACAGTATTCCATTATAGTACAAATCACTTTCTCTTTTTTATGTAAAGTTTAAACAGACACTGTTTATTCTTTTTAGGTAAATTAGTTTCCTTAGTCGTACAAATAATGTGTATTTAGAATACAGAAAACTAGTAAGATGTATTCGTATTGTGATTGCTACGATAACCATAGTCAGCATTTATATATAGATTTATAATCTTTTTAATATATTTCTATATACATGTGTATATACATTTATGCATATATATACTCTATACTTCAATTTTGTGGTCCACTTTTGTACTCACCTTATATCATTAATATTTTGTTAGAAACTATTATTTTAGGACATTCAATAAGTCATTTCTGCAAGTACTGGGATTAAAAAGAAATCATTTGTTCTAAATTTGTTGCCATTTATTTTTCTTGATGTCATGTCATGCTTTTGGTAAATACCCTCCATGGTTTTCCTCTCCACCCTGGAGCTAATCTGATACCTTGGGAATTAAACCACTTTGAAAATGAATTTACAAATAAACTAGGCCTTCAAAGATCACAGTGCATTTTTTACGTGGTGTTAGATACCCTCTTACTCATGTGACATTTATCAGCAGGGGGCAGGAGCAGAAGCAGGACTAATTGGACAATTCTTTTGTAGGTGTGGATACGCCACATTGCATCACGTCATAGACAAGTCCAAAGAAGATCGGATGGAGAGCTTCTTTCTCAGTGAGACGTGTAAATACTTATATCTGGTATGTATGTTTCCAGATAAACCATCGGATTAGAAAAAGCACTGTTTTGCAGCCTTCTTCCTGACAAATAACTTACCTGGCACTGCTGTGTGCTAGACATTATGCATTTCTAGGGATACAAACCCTTTTTACAAAAGAATATTTACTGACTTCCTTCATTTTCCAACTTTATGGTGGAATCACTAGTTAAGGAAACAAATCAGTGTAAACATGTACTAATAAAAATTTTTTAAAAAATCAGAAACAAGCTTATGATTAGTAACTATGCAAAGTACTGGAAAGGTTCAATAGGGGACCAACTTTAATACTATGGTCAGGAAGGCTTCTCTGAGGAGAAGAGCAAATTTTAATCCCCACTCTGGCTCATCCATCTCCTTCGAGTTTTCTTTTCTTTTTCTTTTTCTTTTTTTTTTTTTGATACTGGGGATTGAACTCATGACCGTGTGCTCGCTAAGCAGGCGCTTGTGCTGCTGAGCTAAATCTCTGGCTCCCCTTCTGTTTTTCTGTGGTACTGAACACTGAACCCAGCACCCTGTACATACTATGGAAGTCATCTTTTTCACTGAGCTATACCTATACCTCACTACTCTTGAGGTATGTGCAGCCAGGCTATCTCTCAGTACACAATGCATACTAATGTATTCTTAATCACACACTTGTGGATATGTGGAGAGAAGGTCTGGACTTGGAAGGAACTTTTGGGATTATCTGGTTAATGTTTGTTATTCTTCTTATGGTAACTACCGCCTACCCTGAGAGGTCATAAGGCTTGTTTGAGGCCTTCACATGAGTGTGTTATGTGATAGAATGGAGGCTTGAACCAGTATCTTGACTCCTGTCCAGCCTCTGTCCATGTCACCAGTCTGCAACATGCATGTGTAGTGCCTGTGCATATAACTGCTCTCTTACCCATTTGACCATTTGATTTGTTGTGACCACATGCAAAGGAGACTTCTGAGGGCACAGAGTGTAGGGAAGTTGTTGGGGAAATCATTCAGACGTAGCCACAGCAGTGTTATCCAGTCAGGACCCGGGCCCACTGGGTGTGAATCACCCTGGGGCCTTTGTTAAGATTAGAGTTGCACTGAGTCACAGCCTTTAGAAGTGAGCTCAGGAATCTGATTTTGACAAATGGTCTCCAGCGATTCTGTGTGGAGCTAGGTGTTGGAATTGTTAGTCTGATCATTCAGGACCACTGTTCTTTCTGGCATTACTTTTCACAGAAGATGGTATTCACCAGCATGCCATGTAGTCTTACCAGGGAGAAGACACTGACCTGCTGTCACATGGTGAAAGTGCAGAGTTTCTAGTTGTGAACAAAGATAGGAGGCTGTAGGGTGCCCAAGGGAAAGAGGGGGTCTAGGAGGAGAAAGACCTGGGTTCTACTTCATTTTCCCATTGAATCTCATTTTTTATCTGCAAACTAGTTTAGGGATCAATAAAGTTTCTTCTGTCTTTAGGAATTTCTAAATATGATTGTCTCTCCTGATCTGTTTTACTTTCCATGGTTTCAGTTACTTTCCATTTATTTCAGTTATAGAAATAAATGGTTAATAAGTTTTAAAACACTTTGTTTTGTTTTATTATTAGTTGTATTGCTAACTTCTTGTGTCTAATAGCATTCATCATAAAATGTACATGTAGGAAAAAAAGTAGTAAATAGGACTCAGCACTGTCACTGGTTTCAGGCATCTTTGGAATGTCTTTAATTATCCCCCATGAATAAGGTACAAATACTAAATTCAGTCCTTCCACATTTGCTGAATACTTTTTCCGCACCCGCATTGCACCCTGTTTTGTTCTCAGCCATGTCCAATGTTAAAGGAAAGGGCTATGCCTGTGTACCACTGTGGCCTCAGAGCTGCATCCAAGACCTGAGCTGACTGTTGCAGGCATATCGGCTCTGGGATAGGCCTGAGGATATGCTGATCGTGTCCTCCTGCCCCTTAGCATCTCTGATTTAAGGCCTGGGTATGTGTGAAATAACAGTAATTCTAGACTTTCAATAGGAGAAATATGTCCCTTTCAATAGGAGGCATATGAGAATTTTCTGGGTAGCTTGTACTGACTGTGCTTGGATCCCAACTCTGGGATTTTTGAGTCTGGGTCTGGGTGAGGCTTGGGAGTAGGTCCAGGTATTTTGAGTTTAAATAAAAAGGGCAATCCTGCTCTACAGCCAGGGTCTCAAACCATTTTTTTTTTTAAGGGAATGAAACAAAGCCAAAACAATAATAAGTCACAGTAGGTACTCTAGTAGTTACTATATTGCATGTTGTTAACCTCTAAATAGTTGCTCAGTCTCCTGGTTTTAGGCCTGCAAAGTAATCAGCCAGTACAAGCATTAGGTTATTTCCTTACTTTGTTTCTTGTCTTCAGTTGTTGCCATCTAAACTGCTTCTTCCAAATCTGCTTGTCTCTCACCCTAAGCACTAACTGTCTCACAGGGGTGGGGCATGGCCTCCTTCATGTTTCTCTCTGGCTGGCAGGGCTACTGCTGGCACACAGGGGGCAGCACACCTTCCTTCCTGTCCCCCCCTCCCCCCACTGCTAGGGGCCACCGCTTGCACACAGGAGGCTGTGTACCTGACTTCCTGTTTCTTCCTAGCCAGCAAGGTCACTACTGCCACATGGGGTGCTGTGTAGCCTACTTCCCATTTCTCACCAGCTGACAGGGCTGCCAAAGGCCAAAACTATGGTTTTGTTTTGTTTTTCTTAATCAGAGATTGAACTCACAACCTTGCGCTCACCAGCCAGGCACTTACACTGCTGAGCTAAACCCCTAGCCCAAAACTGTGGTTATTAACCAATACCTCTTCACTCAGTTATGTTTCCTGAGTAGCTGGGAGGCTCCTATTTTCCTTTCTTTTTTTCTTTTCCTCTAGCTGTTTGATGAGGAGAATCCAGTACACAAATCTGGAACCAGGTACATGTTTACAACAGAGGGCCACATCATATCTGTGGACAAACATCTTCGGGAATCACCCTGGAAGGAATTCTTTTCTGAAGATGAAAGGCAGAACCAGCAAGGAAAGTTTGTACACAGGCCAAAATCTCATGAGTTAAAAGTCATCAATTCCAGCTCCAATGTGAGTTGCCTTTTTTCCCGGGATGGTGTGTGCATAAAGGAAGAGATACACTACTAATGCCTTTGGCATTTTGAGTTTCTGACAGAAAATTGGTGTCACAAGCAGACTAGGTAATTTGAAAAGAGTTTTGTAAAGAAACCCTATGTTGTCAGGATGTAGGGAGAGTAGAGAGCAGTGGCACCTTCTCACGTGGGAGGGGGCTGCTGGGAGGGTGTGATCACAGCCACCTGGAGGCGTTGTGCAGGAAAGATGGCCACTGGCAAGAACCACTGCTTGGTCGTGATATCACTAACTGTATAGGCAGGAAACTGTAGCTCAAGACCTGGTACCACCCCTGTCTTCCTTCTGATTTCTTGCTGGAGGCTTGGCTGTCCTCACCAGGAATCAGAGGACAAGGAAGCCTCTTGGTATAATCTCTGAAGGACGAGGAGGAGCTTCCTGAATGAAATGCCAGGCAGCATTTATGAAAGTCTGAGGGAGCACGGGGTCTTGGAAGACCTGGCAGTCTTGATCTTGGCAGAGGATGAAGAGAGGGCTGAGTGAGTGCAAGTGCAGAGCCACGAAAAAAAAAAAAAAAAAACAGAATAAATGTTTGTGGACATCGTTTCATTGGTTGCTTCTCAAGACTAATATCTTCTGAAAATAAAAAAAGACCCACATCTTCTACAAATTGGGAGTAGGGGCTTTATTTACTAGTTTTTGAGACAAGGTCCCACCATGTCGTTTAGGCTGGTCTTTGAACTCACTATGTAGCCCAGGCCAGCCTCACACTCACAGTGATCCGCCTGCCTCAGCTTCCCAAGTGCTGAGATTACAAGTGTATGCCATCTTGTCCTGGAAAAGGTCATTCAATTTAAAAAAATTAATACTCTGAAGCAATTTGATTTTCTCTATATATAGAAGAACACAAAAAAATACAGTATTTTCGGATAGCTAAAGTGTTTACTGAAATCTGAGAAGTTTAAGCACCCAAGTAATGTGTGTTTTACTCCTGGCTACCAGTACTTGCTGTGAGTATCTTGTAGCCGCCTTGGGTCTTCATTTTTCTATCTATAAAGTGAGGAGATTAAATTTTATCAGTCCTTTTCCAGGGGTGATTTTGCTCTTCAAGGGACCTTGAGCAATGTCTGGAGACATTTTTTGGTTGTCAAAACTGAAGGGTGGAGTTGTCACTGTCCCCCCTGGAGGAGAGACCAGGGATGCTGCTGACCATTGAACAGAATAGCTCCTCCCAACAAGTGATTATCGATCCCAAAATATCAGTAGTGCCTGGGTTGAGGAACTGGGTTAAGTCATGCAGTCACATTTTCTGAGAGATGAACACATAGGTTTCTAATTCAAAATTTGTATCTTTGTAGTGCAATCGTGTTCCTGATGAGAGGAGATACTCCCTGCCCTTAAAGAGCATCTACATGCGACAGATTGACCAGATGGTTGGCTTGGTTTGATCTCGTCTTCTCTCCATGGACTCATCGTAAACCAAATCTGACTTAATCCAGACCACCCAAAAATGCAGTCTGAGATGGAAGGGGTGGAAATCTGGCCATCCATGATGGTGTGGAAATTTGTGACCTGCTCCTTACACGTCCATCTAGTTAATATTTGCGTACTTTGGTGTTTTCTTTCTGTTCAATAAAATGCCCTATTTTTCTTAAGGATATAATTTGAAATGAGAAGGTATGTGGAAATTGGCTTCTGTTGATATGCTTGTGTTATTAAGCACAATATATAGGGAACCTTTAGATTGATTGTTCTCAGCTTTCTGTTTAGAATCCACGTCTCTTCATGTTGCCAGCACTTGACCCTCCTGCTGTATTGCTACCTCTTTGTTAAAGGTTTGGGAATGAAATTTTTGTGCAAAGGGCCTGAGGTTCACTTGGTGTCCCTACTTTTTGCATTGAAAATGTCGTGTTTTCTCTCTTATTGGATCATGGGGCCCTCTGCCAGATTCCCAACTGTGATTTTTGGATCACATGGAGAGAAATCATCCATTTGTTCATTTATGTCACAGGCAGTCTTCACAGTGTTACAAATTGTTTGCTTTAGTAATAATAGTCCAACCAGAATTCTAGCAGACAGTCTCCTTACTTGTTATGTCATACTATGAGAGATTATCAGATCTTTTGGGTGGTATTTTGTGTTTATTTTGAACATGAGCTTACCTGAGAAACTCCCACAGTGTAAGAATCAGGTAGGTGCAATCAGGGAGAGAAAAGAAAAAAATGCAACTAACAAAATCTAAGATTGTTTGAACTTCCATCTTTCTTATGTTTCCTAACCACGTTTTCTAAATTATAACCATGTTTGAGTTGGTTTGAGTTTTGTTTCCGTTTTGTCACTTGTGTCTAGTGCCAATTAGCTAATCAGGGAGAAAGAAATGATCAGATGACTTTCTGATATCCTTGAGCCATTTCTCTGTGTGATACAGGTTTTAGATTAGTGCCTTACGGGTTTTGATTTAGGCCATTAACTGTCACGGCCACTGCTGTGTTTGTGGCAGTCTGGTTTTGTATTGCCATATAATGGGACCAACAGGGAAGGAGGGTGGTGTGGGTGTTAATGTGGAAGATGCTAGAAATTTCTTGATTGGTCTTTGCCTTTCAATTTGTTTTTAGTCAAGCCTATAGAGGAAGTTGTGCTAAAATACGTTCTTTCCTTTTTGCTATTATGTATTTCCCTGACTAGAACAAAAGGCTGTGTCTTTCACTTAAACTGAGTGCTCTATAAATTACAGCAATGGAAAGGATAGAAGTCTCTTGAATACTTGGAGCCTAATGTATTTTGTTTCACTTATCAGTGTTTGCAAACTTCAAATGATTTCATTAGTGTTTTCAAAACTAGAAACAAGTTCTGTGTAAGTCATTGCATTTTCAGACAAAAGGGAAAAAGTTTATTTCTTTTTGAAAATTTAAGGTTAACTCTTAAAAATAGATATGTAATTCAGTTATTTTAAAAGAAATTTTCAGTAGTAAATGTATCACCTATTTTTTAAATATTTACTAGTTAATTCATTTTAAAGTAAAAGAATCAAATGTTTCCAGTTTTACTTCCTTCATTTTAGAAGTACTAGTCTATCAATAGTGTCTCATCTACTGAACAACAGAAAATTTTCTTCCAAAAATACTATTCTGAATGTCTTTATTAACTCAGTGAAAATGTTAAATCCTGCCCCGCTGGCCCTTTCCTTCTGTGAGCTTGCACCTGTACTTTTCTCCAGGCAAGTTGAGGTGGGATTGTGAATGACCCACTTGGGAGAACGGGGTGTATGAGGGAAGAAGCAAAGTCTTCCACCTCTGAAGTCTTTCAGCTTCCCCATTTCTCCGGCCTCTGTGGCAGCAGCAGTGTGTAAATACTGCAACACCATCCTTATCATCTGGGCCCTTTACCTACCACGAGCTTTTGGAATGGAGATCTGTGCTTGGTAGCACCAGTGTGCCTTGAGTGAAAAGGTTTCTTAGGGGGATGTGAAAGTTTCGTATGAAGTCTGAAACCCTGTTGATATCTGGATACTGAACTTACACCAGTTGGTGAGACCGAGGGTGAGTGAATTACTATTAATCCTGATTATTGACCTTATAGACTATTTAGACTATCGAGACTGATGTTATGTAGTCAGTGATTTGTGGAACTAAATGTTAGAATGTTATCTAGTACATCCATTAAAAGAATGTTCTTAGAGCCAAGTTCATAGCTTACTGTTTTCTTTTTAAAAGAATGACAGTAGCTGTGATGTATTTATAGGCATCTGTTCTCCCTTCTATTCTGAAATACTGGGTAGGGAAGAGCCAAAGAGGAGAATGTCAGTGGAATCCCCTTGTTCAGTGCTTTACCCTAGGAATGTCTTGAATCTGAACTTTTGCAACAGTTACGAGGTTAAACCATCCTTATATTCCCTCAGTAGCTAGATGTCCAATATTAATGTTAATATTTTGAAAGTAGTTTTAAAAAACTGCTGTAGAAAACTATCCTGTGATGAAGCTTGGGAATTTAGTTCTCCCAAGACAAAAATTTTAAATTATTATAGGCTGGTTTAGATGCTTTAGACCGTGTGATGCACTAGGTGACCGTGGAATGTTTGCTTTCTGGTTATGCTGGCCCTTGTGAAAAACTGACTTGTTTTCAGATCCTCCTTTCAGTTTCTTTCCAGTCCTTTTATGAGACCTTGTTCTTCTGTCTGAATTTCTAGGTTCTGCTGATGTCCTGGGCTTTTCTTTCCTGGACTGGGAAATGTACATATGACAGTTAGTTATTTAGAGAAAAGTGCATCAGGCTATTGTCTATGCAGGTGAATGTTAGTGGAGAAACCATAGTTAACAGGTTTGAATTTTGAGTTGTGCAATCTGAGGGCTTTGCTTCCCTCCTCCCCACCCTTTCTCCCCTATAAAAGATAAATGTCTGAGCTGTTTCTTAGCTCATTTTAGGCTTAACATTATACATTCCTTCTGGGGGCCTTCGGAGCTTCTCTCTCTTCCACGTGTTCGGATTTAGCACTGGTTAAAGAGTATGGCTGAGTGCTTACTTTAGCCACAAGGTGGCTGATAGGGACTTCAGAAGAAAATCTTTTTGCTTTTCTACCCCAAAACATAGTGCCTCTTCCCTGCATGTGGGGCAGGGACCCCAGGTAAGAGAAGAGGGGGTGAGCTGGTTATATACCCCTTAGGTCAGGCTCAGGATTATGCTTCTACTTAATTTTGTATATGAATCTGGAAAAAATGTCAAGTACCTGTGGACTTCTCTAATTCACTAAGCCCCTCTTTGTGAGAGGCAGAAAAATATTTTTTAAAAGTATTTTGTTTTAGTTTTAAATAGCAAAATACATTTTTATTTATTATACACAAGAAAACTCGTTTTTTCAAAAAATTTAGAGTTGGAAACTCTGGGAAAACTTACTGAAATACACAAATGCTTCTCTGTAATGTGCAATATGCTTTGCTACTATAGATGATATTTTATGTTTAATCTGTAAATGTATTTAAATTAAAAAGAAGCTTTTTGTAAAATGACCAAATGTTCTTTTATAAATGTACTAAAGGATATCTTGCTCTTTGGAATTTATTAGATTTTTATGAATAATTTTTATTAAAAGATTCCTTTTTTGAGTGATCATTGTGTTTTTCCTTTTCATACTCATATATCTATATTACAGGCAGGATGGGGAAAAATCATTAAGGGAAACTAAAACCATCTGAAATAACTTTATTTTTACAGCCAAGCTTCCTTATGGTAATCCACTCCATTTTCGTCTGTCACATCCTTCCATTTAAATGTCCTTTGCATGTGGGTGACACACTTTTTCTAGATGTGGTCGGTTGCTAGATTCCCCTGTAAAGTATTCTTCTGGGCCCTGACTCCTCAAATTGTGTTGCCAGTTACCTGAGTATATGTGTGTTGCAGAACTAATTTTTCACATTGTCCCAAGCAATGCACCTCATGCCTCTTAACCTCTTGGAGGTTAAGATGGGGCAGTAGCAGCATGTGGAGCACTGACCTGGGGAAATGTGAGAGGAGAGCTGGCCTCTTCCCTGTCCTGCCACCTGAGTCCCTGAAGGGATCTTAAAGAAGAATGCTGATCTTGCCCTGTAGCATCTCGGAATCCCAGTTTTGGGGTCTTGGCCAGTTCTGATTGGCTCATTTAATCCATCTCCTTTTTGGAAAAAGGTGCATTTTTCTGCCAACATATATTTTCAGTGATCAAGAATTCATTTTGTAAATGGAAACACCATTATTAAAAAGTGCTTATAAATAGAATACTGTTTCATTCTAAATGACTAAATATACTACAGTGATGAAAATAATAGAATTGAGATATTTTTTGGCAAACTTTGGGATAAGGTAAGGACGTATCTTTAGGATAAACACTAATCACAGATGTTGCTGTCAGATAGTCTCAGAATAAATGGAAAATTGATGAAAGTCTGTAAAATACCTCTGTGAAGGGGAGAGTCCTGAGATGGTAAGCATCCTCCTAATGGGAAAAGGTTCTAATGTGTAAGGGCCAGTGGCTGTGTGTGAAGTGGTGTAGGTTTGTAACCATCTTGACAAAGCCAGGTTGGCCCAAGTTCTCTAGGGGACAGGAGAAGAGCCACGTGTGCTGTGTTGGTGTCTGCCTGCCTTCTCTGAGAAGCTTTCCATGCATAACGTGAACACATGCCCTTGGCCAGTGAGTGTAGCAGAATGATATTACTGTGTGAAGCCTGCAGGATTGCGTAGAGAGATGCTGGGCCCTCACCACAGGTATTCTGTACCCAGTACATTTGTGTATTGAGCAAGTGACAGCCCCCCCCCCCCACTGGGTTGGTCAAATTACTTTTTATTTTCTAGTTTGATGGGATTTGTTTTTCTCATATTTTATTCAAGGATAAAAAGAAGAAAAGAGACAATTTCAAAACATGCTAATCAGGGGCACAGTGGTACATACATTGCGCACTGTCATTCCCAAATCATTCTCCTAGACCACAGGACATCTACCTTCAATTTCTGAACAATACCAGCACAAATTTTTCTCTTCAGCTAACTCAGAGAAGTCAGTAGTATAACTATCTTTTTAAATATACATACAACTTAGCATCACTAATGAAACAATTACATGTGTGTCTTATTTCACTAATGAGTATTAAGGTGCATCCATTTACCTATAAAAGTATCTGTGGCTGAGGAGTACACCACTGTACAAAAATACCTTTTTTAAAAAAATCCATTTGTCAGTCATTGGGCATTTAGGTTGTTTCCAAGATCTGGCTTTGTAAACTGCTGCTATAAACAGGTGCACATCCATCACTGAAATGTGAAGTTTTAATTCTTTTGGGAAGATACCTAGAAGGGGAATGGCTGGTCAAATGGGACCTCCAACCTTAGTTTTTTGAGGAATCTGCATACTAATTTCCATAGTGGTTGTTCCAGTCTGCATTCCCACCAACAGTGGAGAAGGTTCCTTTTCCCCCACAGCCTCTCCAGCATTTGTTATTGGTTGATTTCTTAATCCTAGCCATTCTTTCCAGAGTGAGGTGGAATTGCAGTGTTTTAATTTACATATCTCAAATGGCCAGAGATGAAGATTTTTAAAAGTATTTATTTGCTTTTTGTATTTCATCATCTGAGAAGTTATATTCATCTCATGTACCCATTTTTGGATTGGGTCTTTAAATCAGGAGGACTGATTTTTGTGAGTTCTTTGTATGTCCTCTTTAGTGATCCTTTGTAGGAAGAACAGCTGGTAACCATTGTCTCCCATGTGTTTCTCCACTCTTGGTTTCTCTTGCTGGGCAAAAACTTCAGTAAGGTATAATCTGGGTTTTATTCGTAAAGTCTTTGCCTATACCAGTGTCTTCAAGAGTTTTACCTACTCTGTCTTCCAGCAGATTTAATATTTTCTATTTTAATATTAAGATCTTTTCCATTCTGATTTTAGCGTAGTACATGGTGAAAGATATGGTCCAGTTTTAATCTTTGACATGTGTAGAGCCAGGTTTTCCAGCACCACTTATTAAAGAGACTAGCTTTCTTCCAGTGAATGTGTTTGGCACCTTTGTCAAAGATAAAGGTGTCTTAGTATTTGTTTTAGTTTTTTGGGGGTTTTATGATGCTGGGGATCGAACTCACGACCTCGCATTTGCCTAGCAGGCACCACTGAACTAAACCCCTGTCCCCGAATGTGTCTAAGTATGTCTGGAGTTGCTTCTCCATCTTCTGATCTGTTCCATTGACCTGTTTTTCTGCCAGTATCACATTGTTTTTGTCACAGAAGCTTTCTCTCTCTTAGTCTTGGCTTGAAATTCACATTGTCTGCAAATAGAATAGCTACTACCACTGCTTTTTTCTGGGCTCCAGTCGCATGGAATATTGTTTTCCATGTTTTGACTTTCAGTCTCTGAATTTCTTTTCAAAATAAGTGTTTCTGGTATACAGCATTATGTTGGATCTTGCTTCTTGATCCATTCTGCCAGTCTATTTCTTTTGACTGGTGAATTGAGACCCATTAACATTGATGGTTTTAACTGGTATGTGTTGACTTATCCTTGTCATGTTATTTTCTTGTTGTTGGCTCCACCTCCTTCCTCGCACCCCAGTTTTTCCTTCTAATTGTTTGCCTTCCCTAGTGCATTCCTTCTGTTAGGGTTTATGGAACTGTAGTCCTTATTATCTCTTTCCAGAATATTCTTCAGAATATTTTAGGTACTGGTTTGTTGGTCATAAATTTCCTTAGATGTTCTTTGTCATGGAAGTATCTTATTTCTCCATCAATTTTGAAAGATAGTTTTGCAGAATACATCAATCTAAGTTGAAATTTGTTTTCCTTTAGAGTACTTCACTCCAAGCTCTCCTTGGCTTAAGAGTTTGTACTGAGAAGTCAGCTGTGATTCTGGTTAGCTTTCCTTTATAGGTGATTTGTTTCTTTTCCCTAACAGCTTTTAAGATTATATGCTTGTGTTGAATTTCTGGAATCTTGACTATGATGTGCCTGGATGTGGATTTTTTTTTTTGATCATTACTAATTGGAGTTCTATATGCCTCAGTTATTTCTACGTCAAATTCTTTTTCTCTACCAGAAAAGATTTCTGTCATGATGTCTGCGAACATTTTTTAATGTCATTTGTGGTATCTCTTGCTTGTTCATTGACCCTAATGAACTTTTAATTATTCTTCATCTCATCTAGCAGCTGCTGGATTGATTTCTCATGGCCCCTTGCTAATGTTGAGAAATCTTTCTTTTCCTGGTCGCTAATTGCATGCCTGTCTTCAATATCTGAGATCTTGTCCTCACATTGGCCTAATCTGTTTTGAATACTTTCAATGGAGTTTTCATTCTCCTGGATATCTGCTGGAATCTGTTCTATGGATTCCATTTTTTCCTATGCCATACTTCCATAATTTAATTAATTAAGTTCATCTATTTTTTTGTCTATGTCTGCTCTAACATCGCTAAGCATGGTATGTATTTTGGTAATGTCTAATTATTTGAGAGATTATTATTTCTCATTTCATTTTTTCAGAGCGTCATTCAATTGCTTTGTTGTTATTCAGAGAGACCAGGTGGGGGCTTTCAGATTGTTACAACCTCATTGCCCCTTGGGTTTGCCTTTGGTGAACTGGATGTCTGGGGTTGCATCTTGTTTAAGTGTCTTTTTTTTTTTTTTACTTTAATTCTGGAATGATTATAAATTGTGTATGGTGAGTTGTTTTATTGATGGTATTTAGGACCCTTAAGTGATGGATGATTACTTCTCTGGGGTATCTTCCAGATATGCTGGTTTTTGGGATTTGGGTCTGTTGGAAGATCTTACCTCTCAGTTTGTTAGAGATGAGAAATTGTTGCTTGTTTAGCATAGTCCCTTGTTCTTTGGCACTGTGCCACAGTATTTTCTGTGACTCTTAGTTAATCTCAGTCATGGATTGTCAGGGCCAACATCTGTTTAGAACAGCTATGTCAATTTTGGCTGCAGTAGTACCAATAGCACCAAACACAGCTTATAAAACAACAAACTAAGCTAACCCTTAATTGGTAACTTTTAACCATATGAACTAGATTTGTGATTATATAGCAAAATGTAAAACAAGTAATTGTATGCGATATGTAAGTGTAAAATGTTTCAATTTTGTCCTCCGGGTTAAAATTTAATTTAAAATCAATTAAGGAGAAAATAGAGAAGTGGAAAAAGAGCGATTAGAAGTAAAGTTGGAGAACAAAAGTGGATCACAACCAACTTGGGGAAACTGGTGCAGAAGACTGAAGGAAAAGAGAGATGGAAGAGATGAAAGAAATAACAGAACAGAACCACACCCACAAAGAGGTTAGGAACCATTCTGACACTCATTAAAAAATAGTGAAGGAGCAAGAGAAAAAAGAATACAAAAAGATGAGTAAATAGTCCACTTCCAGAATTTGCCCTGGTTTCACTAGTAGGTGGCCTGTGGAGACAGAGTCCCCAATTGTGCCACTATATCCTAGCAAGTCAGTGGCTGTTATATGGCAGAATAGTAGAAAACCTTAGCAGTCCTGCCCTGAGACCAGATGCATTGGACTGCTGCTGACCAAGCAATTTCCACAGGTCTGCATCCAGCTAGGAGCTGCTGGAGGAAGCTGGCAGCAGTTTTGGTCTCGGCTT